TCACACACCCCTCACATCCATGTGTATGTGTGTGTGTGATTGCGTGTGGTGTGGAAAAAGTTTCCGTTTGAAGCATTTCGGTCGGTTGGATGATTTATTGCCACTTCAGCAAGGGGGACAACGCTGCGTATGAGCAATGACTGATCCTTTTTTACCCCCCGCAAAACCTCACCAAGCCCTCCCTCTGCGATGCGGATTATTGTCTATGCTGACAAAGGATTTAAGCGGAATTTGATACAGCCAGGACAACGCTGAACCGAAGCCATCCATTAAATGCTACGGCAAATTAAGTCATTAAAAAACAATTTTTGAACCAGTCAGAAGAGAGCTTGTCGCCGGGGGAGAACAGGGGGCGTATACGCAATCTACTGAAGACGAGAAGCAGGTGGAACTGCCAAAAAATAAATATGCAAATTCGGCGCTTTCCAACTGGAGACGGCCATAAAAATGCAATCACACAAAAAGCAAAAAAGAAAAGCCCAAGGAAACGTAAAAGCCAAAGGCGGCCAACAAATAAAAAAAAAAGTGAAAAGAAATGACGTAAAAGTGTGACTCAAAAGAAGGTGGGGGGGGAGGGTTTTCGAGGGGGTTTGCTGGGTGTTCTCAGACTTTGTGTGCGAGTGTGTGTATAGTTGGGGGTGTGAAGAGGCTGCCAACTATTTCTGTAGACGCAGCTGCCTGAACGGCTGGTGCTACTGCAGCTACTGCTGGTGCTGCCTTTGTTGCCATCTTTTGCCTAGGCCAAAAGCATAAAATTAAAATGCGAAAATGCAGACAATGGGTCGACCGAAAGAGATGGCATTATGGTATAGAAGAAACACACTGAAAACTATATTAAAAAACTTATAATAACCTTTGCAAGGGTATAAGAAACAGGCATCCTTGATTAAAATCATTAAAAAGTAACTAAAAAAAACTATGGTGGCTTGAAGCCTTGAGTTAAATAATCTCTAGTTTCCTCTTAATTTTTTTAACTGCAACTTTGCTAAATGTGTACGCGAATCTATGAGTAGTACTCGCGCCTCTGTATTTCTATGTAAACGTGAAAAAAGCGCAGCTGAGCTCACGTCAAAGGCGGCTCCTCCTCCTGCAGGCTGCAGGCTTCTGCTTTTTGTTGGTCTCTTGCCTTCACTTCAATCATTCCGTTTGAGAACATCCATCCATATGCATATGTGCATCTGCATCTGCATACTCGTACTGTTGTACCTGAATCAGAATGTATCTGTAGCTGTGTGGCTGTATCTGTATCTGCATGTGCAGCTGTCGCTGCTTGAAATATGCGCGACCAACATTTTCGCTTTTGTCTTTAATTTTTGGCAACGTTTTTGGCCCAAATTGCGTCTTAAATTCGTTCTCGTCTCCCTCTCTCTCACTCGCTCTCGACCCAGTTAAGGGAAAGGCAACAAAAGACGGTTGGCGTTGGGCGGGTTAAACTAATTTGTCTAGAGTTATGCAAATGAGATACAGCTTAGAGATATGAGAGAATACCTAAAATATCTGAGGGATGCGATGCACGCACAACCATTGGCATTTGCACCCACACAAATGTGCATTTCCTCTCAAGTTAATGAAATATTTCAACTTGCCAACTCGCATAAAACACTGATGTGTATCTTTGTAGCTCTTGTGTGTGCTGCCATGCTTATTATTATCATTATTATTAAGATATTTTTGGCCTAACTACATACTTGTACTTTGCCAAGAGCTAAAAGGGGCGACGACAAGCAACGAGATTTTCCCCAAGGGGAATTTAACAATCAAAATTTTGAACAGCGTGAAATGAACTCAATTAGCAGCTGCCTAATATCATCAAGTTGTAAACAAAACAGGCGAGACGGCACCCAATTAGCCATTTGAGAACAGGAAATCCATTCAAATGAAGGGTTGAGTAAACAAATAATATCTTTAATCACTTTCCCCCCCCCACTTAAGATTCCTCCTACCTAAAATTATTACTATTTGATGGGTTCTGTAATCGATAAATAAGCTCTCTGCCAAAACTTGGTTGCAATTGCCATTTAAAAGTGTAAAGTTCGGCATTGCCCATGGGTTTTTGGCCAAGTTCTCACATTAGCCAAGTGGAAACTTTTGTCAGGTGGCGCAAACTCAATTTCCATATGCACCATGCATCTGTATCTGTGACTCGGTATCTGTATCTGGCTATCTCCATATCTGTGTGCATATCCGCTGGCAGTGGGCAGCGACAAACGATTTGAGAACCGTGAAAATATGCAGATAACTAATATTAACTTTTTGTTCAAATGCATCATGAATGAAGCGTGGAAACGGAATAGTTGTAAATACAAAAAAAAAAATGGGGGGGAAAACGAGCTCGTTAGATGAGTGAGTGAATGAATGAATGAATGGGGAGAGAACCCAACTCAACGACTTGATCGACTCGCTTCAATGCAGCTAGCTAGCTCCGAGTTTCGAGTCCGAGCCATATGCAAAAAGCTGAAATAATTGCCCCAAAAGAGACCCGCATTTACAGAAAGAGAGATGGAGAGAGAGAGAGAGGGAGGAGGGAAAAATCGGTGAAAAATTGGGAGCAGTGCGTGCAGCAGTCCGGTTCTATTTATGGCCACACTTTTCAAAATCCCAAAACGAATGGCGGCCATAAAAGCCGCACGCAGTTGACCCACACGGCGGCGACGGGGCCTCGGCCCTCTTAGCATATGGATTATTCAGGTGGGTGTGTCGTCGCCCGTCTGTGGCTCTCGCATCTGTATCCATGTATCTATGTATCTACTAGTCGTAGCTGTACTCTGTTCTGGGGTTTTGTTGCGGTCCAAATGGCCAGCGCCACGCTAGAGTGCAAGTTTGGTTACCGTTTGGTGACCATTTTGCATGTGGGCTAAGCAACGCATCGAACCCAGACCTAAGCTTGAACCCAAAAAAAAAAAACCCCGAAGCCTGAAAAACCCCCTAAAAAGGTTTTATTTTACACAGAAAGAAATTGTTTAACGGGGGAATTAATAATATTAACAAATAGCATTTCAATGTCATGTTAAAATGTAATTTAGATCGTAGATTGTTATCTGATAAATGTATCTTATAAATAATATCTTTTTAAATATCATTTTACATCTCTTAAAAAGATTTAATTTATTGTCATTTTAATATATTTTAATGTTATCGTAAAACTGCAGTTTATGTCGGCAAAAAAATATAATATACATTTAGCTCAAACTACAAAAATCCGAAACTACTGAGATTTGAAAAGAATAAAGGCTTATGTCCATTTTGATCTTTCCTCTAGGGGGTAAAGTTTACCTCTAGCTAGGACTATCAGATTTTATGCCGAATAAGCATTCATATCTTGGTTCTATGTGTAATCTGGGATGGTTTCACGCATAGCGGGGGATTTAGTTTGATTCGTGAAAAGTCAAAGCTTAAAGGCATTTCCTCGCCTTGTTTCCCTTTGACACAGATTTTCTTTATGGCCTTAACCCACCCTTAGCCACACACACGAGTCCCTGCCTCTCCCCCTACCTCCCTCATTTCTCTTTTCCGATTTAGACTTGAACTTTGACTGGGTTTGCGAGTTTCTTGGCAGTCAGACATAGCCAGTCATAGCTATAGCTGCTATATAGCCAGCGAATCGTTTCGATAACAGAGAGAGAGAGAGCAAAAGCAGAGCCTGGCGGGCATTATATCTTTTTATTGCCAACGGCAGCAGCCGCCGTCATATGGAGGCGTGTTCCCGCCCCCTTTGGAAAATTCAACACCCGCCCCCCGACCGCTCACAGAACAGCTGTCGCCAACGACGGCGGCAAATTTTCGTTTCGTTTCGCCATTTTTGTATCTTTAGCGAGAAAATTAAATGAAAACATACTATATAAGCAAAGTACTTTAGCTCTTTTGGCATGCGTGCGTTGTCGCTTATAAAGAAAAATCTCTCGAGAAACGAGAAGCGAGCAGAGGATTCACTTGTTGTAGCCTAGGCGACACAAAAAGTACAGAAACGAGAGCAAAAGGCACGGGAAATGAATATTGAAGAGCGGCGCGCATTATAATTTTAGATTTATGTACAGGGTGTCCCTGTCCCTGTGACTGTCGTTGTGCCCCCCTTACTACTAGTACTACAACGTGGAGCAGCACAGGCCGGGAGGATATGAAAGTCAGAGTGGCCCCGCCGGAGGGAATACTTATTTATATTTATGTAAGCCGAAAAGGCAGCGGGGCTGCCAAAATAAGAATTACGGCATTGAAAGCTTAAAGCAGTGCTCGAGGGCAGGAAGCTGGATCAAGGAGTAGGACCGACTCCCCCGCGACCTTTGACGGGTAGCTGCTATTCGAAAAATGTCTTCGAGCGGAATATCTAATTTGAAAAATATGCACAAATCTACACAGCGGAAAAGCGAAAATTTATAAGTGGCAGAAAGGGATTTTTCATATAAAAAAGACTATAAAGTTAGCGCTGTTTTAAGTACATTTTTAAACCAAAAATAATTAAGCAAAGGTTTAAAACTTCTGGTTAATAAAAGTTGAACTGTCAGAATGCCATAAAAACTAATTTTTTTAGTCATATTTCGACGAAAAACGTGTCGTAAGCATTACAAAATACATATAATACCAGTTAATATTGTTTTTTAATATTTATTACAAAAAATATGCTAATTTAAAAGCTTTAATTTTCTCAATAAAAATATCACTATATTTTCCTGTAAAGGAAAACGATGGGCACCCTCTAAGCTAAATGTGCGAGGAAAAGTCTCTATCCCCAGGCGACACTTCCCATTGGTTCGAGTTTTCTTTGTCGCCTGTTTTATTTTATTTCTGTTTTATTTTTTCCTGTTTTTTTTTCCCGTTCTCAGCAACTTATTAGATTTGTCTAAAGAGATACTCGCCGCCGCCGACGCCGTCGCGTGGGTTATTTCGAAACCGATGGCTGGCATTTTTCACAGTTCTTTATGCGACTTTTTGATTCCCGAACATTTCATCAACAGAATGCAACTAAAAATACATTAAGTGTATAGGAAAAGCGAACTGAATTTTACCTTTTTTTTATTTTCTTTTGTCTTTGCAGCCAGATAAATCAAGTTTAAAACTTTCCGCTCGTTGTGGTTTTCCTCGTTTTGATTTCCGATTCACTTTTTTTTTAGTGGGTTGCTCTAGCTTTTGCTTTTATTTATTTTATTTTTTTGTTCAAACTTAACAAGTGGCTAAACGATTAGCCGCGTTTAAAGATATATTAGCACCTGCGCTCTATAAAATATTTCAACATTATTTGATTAATTTTGCATAATTTCATTTTTGTGGCACTTTTCGATCTCTTTCCTATCTCTCTCGTGTCTCGAATGGAAGTTTTCAATTAGAGCAACTAGAGTGCAAGGCCTTTTATTTTCTGGGTTTGGATTTTTGCTGGGTTGTTTGGTCCATCGTTTATTCACTCATCAAATGGCAGTCAAAAAGGCAAAAACCAGGGAAAAATTTGAATAAACAAATTTCCCTAGCTTTCCCTGCCGCACATGTGTGTGAATGGGGGTTATCTACGAAGGGAAGGGGGTTGGTAATGGACGAAGGGTTGGAACTAGTGCTAGTGCGGCTGCTGCTGCTGGCTGCCAGGCTCCTGTTTTTGTTGTTGTTTATGGCCATTACGTATACGCAACGTGTGCGAAAAAGGCTACACGAGGTCTGGTGGGGGTTGGAAAACGATAGCGGAAGCGAGGTGGGGGTGTAAATAAGAGCGAGAGAGAGATTCGGTGATACCGTTGTGACTATTTGGTGAAGGTGGAAAGGGAACAGAGAAGGAGGTAAGAGGAAGGCATAAAGGAAAGCAGACCAGGGGCGTAGAGAAACAGAAGTACACAGTTAAAAGGAGGGGGGTTAAAAAAAAGGTGGAAAGGATCGCTGGTTGTGTGGGAGGCTTTTGCTTTGGTATATACACAAAAAATACGGCCAAAATTCCAACGCAACCCTCGACCCCCCTTTCGTAATAAAAACAACAACAAAACAACGCTTGTATGTCACGCATAAAAAACACATTCTTCTCGGCCTCCTTTTTTTCTTTTGGCCATAATAATAATTTGTTTTTCTGGCGAAAAATCCAAACAACAAGGGGCCGGGACTTGTGTGTGAGCCCAAAATCAAGTACGTTCTCACACACGATTTTCCCTGCATATATACATGTATATATATAAAAAGTATATAAGTTCATGTGTGGAGTTGTAGTATTATAACTTTTATTGTGACTCCACTCATGCCTCGTTTTCGGCCCCAAATACTAGTTGTTCGTTGACTTTTGTCCGCGGACGGCACTTAAAAATTGTTTCTTGTTTTGTTTTTACTTTATTTTTGTGTTTTTATGGCTTTTTTGGCGAAAAAAACGCAGTTTAAAAATATAGCCTAAGAGGAACAGAGAAAAAGAGAGACAGGGAGAGAGAGGAGAACAGGCGATGTGGTAACTGTTAATTGTTGTTGCAGTAGAACGCATGAAAAACTGGCACACATACACACAATGAGAGACACATACAAACACAGCTCGCTGACTGCGACGCGTTATAAAATGTAGAACTTTTTTCCGCTTTTTTTTATTTATTTTTATTTTTGTTTGTTGGTTAGTTAACGCGACGAACCCGAGAGTGTATTTTGGCCGAAAAGCGTTGAGAGCGGTTTTCTGACTTTGTGGAAACCCGAAATCAAAATCGAATTCGAGAAGTGTTGCAATCTCAGCGACGGTAGAACAACGACTCAGCCCCAATCGACGAACGTTTCCCGATTTGGGGGCCCGGGCCCCCAGCTGCGCAGTCAGCGCCGGCAGCGGCAGCGACCGAGGCAGCGAGAGAGAGAGGGAGCATAACAAAGAGTCACGTTCTCTTCGAGCTGTTTTACTCGCTCTTAGGAACGCGATTCGAGGGATGCAATAATGATGCACGTGCGTTGTGTTATGTGTGCGTGTTGTGTTGCGTGGGTGTATGTGTGTGTTTGGAAAAAGATTACAATAAACACATTTTAGCAATATTACATATTTGGCCTATTTATTAAACCCCACCGCCCGCTCACACACACATGCATACAATAAGTTTGATTCCCCTTACCTTATCCCCCACTCTCCCACTCTCTCGAGATTAGAGTTGTTGACGCTTTGGAAAGAGACAGCGACGGCGACGACGACTGCGACGCAGCTGTACAGTGATCTAATAACGGTTAAGGTTGCGATTATCTGATTGGATTCCATCGCTCAGTTTGCATCGGCAAATGCCAATTCAATATGCGAAGAGAATGGAAAACTATGTGGGAAGCTACGAAGCAGCAGCACAACATGTGCATGTATGTATTTAACAAATGTACATGTCACTATAACAAAGTTTTCTTTATTGATTTTATTTTCCTATATATTTTTTTTATTTAGATGTAAAAGAAGGCATCACTTTATGTTAAATATTTAAGATTATAATATAAAAACATAACTAAATCTATGGTTTTAAATTACCTATGTACATTAGAATCTTGTTTTTATTTTTCACTTACAAAGGTGGGTCTCATAAATCACTGATGTTTTAAGATCCCTTAAAAAATATATACGAAATTATGCTATTAAATTTTAGAAGTGACTTATTCTTTTTGTTTTTGACTTCCATTTTCCAAAGTTTAAATTGAAATATGTTTTTGGGTAGATTTTACGAAAATGTTGCCTACGAAGTTTTTAATGATAAATTCAATTTTAAAACATTTAAAGCACTTAAACAAATGCTTTAATTACAAGTAGTATTGTAGGTCTTATAAATTTGAATGGGCAATCCCCCAAAGTGGTAATAAATCCATTGACTCCGATTTGGAAGCAATTTAGAAACTACTATGGGCTAATACCGCGCTTGTTCGAATTCCGGGACCAGTGAGGCGTGGTCGGCGACACCTAGTTCTTGGGCTTTGGGACTAATTAACCGTATTCCGCGCGTTCTAACTGCCGAAACTAACCCCATTGTCATTCATATGAGTTAAAAGGCAGTGTGCGGAGCGCTGCTGGCAGAGGCAGCGACAGCGACGGCGACGGCGGGCGGCAATACAGCGACGCCGGCGTTTTGGCTGGGCAAGCAAACACAGTTATGTTTCGTTACGTTTCGTATTCGGGCCTGTTTTTTGTTGTTGTTTTATTCTGATTCTTTACTTATTGTGCAATGATCCGTGGCAACTTAATTGCTTTTCGTTTGGGTTTTTGGCTACAGCAAAACGTGCGTTCTGCTCCGTATTTTTTGTTGTTGTATGTGTACATTTTGTGCTTCCAACTTTTCTGCTTTTCAGTTTTCAGTTCTCTTTGCGCTACGCTGCACTTCAAATGCTCGATTGTTGTCTATCAAAAACAGTAGAGAACCTTCCCCCAGTCCCCCCCCCCCTGCCCCTTCCCCTGCCACTGCCACTAGTACTCGGTGCTCGGCACTCAGCCCACTTTGTCATTGTGGGAGGACGCATAAATAACGCCGCTGATAAAAAATGGGCGAAGGGCGAATCTAAAGCTCGTAATTATGGCCAGTCAGCCAGCCAGCTAGCTAGCTTTTTTTTTCATTTTTTATCAGCTCTCACTTACATAAGAAAAATCAAAAGGAAAAGACAGAAAGCGGGAAAAACACGTTGTCGGAAAATTGGCCTGGGAGCCCCCCCTTGCGTCTGTTTGTGAAGTTGGAAAATTTGAATTTCATCAGCAAAGACAGCGGGCAAAACAATCACGATAATTAAATTGAGTTCACTGATGCGTATACTTAACATTAAATGCAAAGGCAAATCCAAAGGCAGTCAAAACCAAACGCAAACTCATCTCAAAGCAACAACAACGAAATAAAGAAAGGAAATCAGCAACAAAAACTGCTTTAAAATGTACGAAAAAGCAAGAACCTTCAACTGCCAGGGGTTTCTCTGTATATATTTTTTTTTGGTTTGGGAGGATGTACTTGTTAGAAGCGGAACAAAAAAATTATATAGGTTAGCGCGCGCTAGCCTTCGCATCCCTATCCCAATTGGAACTCGGGCTACATACACGGCTCCCAGAGAGTCGGAAGAGAGCGCAAAGAGAGGCGGAGAGAGAGAATGCCAACTTAGTTTGGGGCATGCAAATATGTGGGGCGACCGCCCACTTTTCCACACGCTTTTCCCACCCACATTTTAACCAACAAAAATGTCAGCAAAGAAAATGAAATATTTTTGAGTAGATACTCTTGCAAAAATAATACACACAAAAAAACAAACTAAAAACTAAGTTAGAAAAGAAAATAATTTAAATAACTAAATTAATTATTACCATTTTCTCAATTAAAGCTTAAATAAAAGCACTTATGTATGTACATAAATTGATTAATAATACTCTTTGGTATACAAAAATAACTTACATTTGGAAAAATGGAATGATAACAGTTCACAATAAGAATGGAAAGAGATATTATTAAATTAACTTGAATGTTCAAAACAAAATATTCATAAAAGTAATATCTTATCATAAAAATTATGATAGAGAACTTCTACAAAATTGCCTTCCCTTGGCTTTTGTCCAAGGAAAATCAAATTAAATTACCTATACTTAACGTTATCAATTTAATGGGCCAAGTTTTCGGGAATTCCCTCTTGGGGGTTGGTCAAATCGGCCGACAAAGTTGGCATGCCCCGATCCCCGAACCCCCAATAGCAGCGAAAAAGGGAAGGCCAAAAAATCAAAGCCACTTTTTTCGCTCTTAAGTGCAAAAATCAAACAACCAACAACCCCCCAAAGCGCTGTGCTCTCTTGACTTTGTTTCTGTCTCTCTCGCGAGAATCGCATCTTAGATCTCTCGGAAATCTCTTCCCCAATCACGTCGGCAGCAGCGTCTCTCATCGCCGCTCTTCGTGTGCATTATTTATTGCTCTTATACAGGCTGCCGAATGCTGACGATGACGAAGGTCCCACCGCCCACCGCCCACCATTTCCTCTCGGTTCTCTCGCTTTCGCCCTCGACGTGTCGGGTGCTGCTGCTCTACCTCTCCCGTTCGCGCACTCCCTCGTTTCGGGCCCAGTTAACTAGTAAACCAGCAACCTATAATGGAGCCTCTTCCGTGTTGTTATCCCTATCCCCAATTTCCCCCAAAAACACGCAGAGAAAATGTAATCTAAAATGAAATCGCGAGAAGTTTTTGCTGCAGATGTGGAGGTGGAAATTCTTAGATACATTAGGCATTATTTGTATGTTTAATACATTTGATTTAAAAATATGTACAAATGTATCTGACCACGAATACCTCAAAATTACTATTTTGAAATATGGGTATTTTATTTATGCATATGATGTACGAATTTCACAAGAGAATGTATAAAAGAAAAGGTTTATACACGAAGATTTTCTATTTGTTCTTTTACATTTTATTCGCAACAAATTCTAATAAAACATTTGTTCACATAATATATTTTCAAGAGTATTGTGACACTTAGTAAAGAAGACAATAATGGAGTCGCCGCAAGGCTTTTATTTTCTCTGTATGCTTTTCTTAGTTTTCCCATTTGTTCTATCCCCCTTTTTCGCATCCTGGAAAATGAGCACCAGCTGGCGGCTGACACACTTCACCCCTTGCTCCACCGCTCTTTTGTTTATTTCTGTGTGTGCCTCGTGCCGTGGCTGGTTGTATAATAAATAACTTTGAAATAAATCAAATCGGATCCTGGCGCGATGGACACATGTTAAATGGACCGGGAAATGTAAGCGGGAGCATCGGAGTCGTCATTTTGGATTTTACTGGGTCAAAATCAACAAGAGCAGCGCTGGCTGTGTTGGGGCTACATATGCCGTGGCAGCGGCGACCTTAAAACGCATTAGCAGCCGCTGTCGGCCGAGTCGTAATAATTTTATTAGCAAACATCAGAAATACATGGGCATAAAAAACGCCGCTAAGCTGGGGCAAAAGCTGAGCCGAAAGAGGCAAGAAGCTGAAATAAAAGCGACTACGATTTTGAAAGGTGTTGGCTTTTTCAGAAGTTCAGTTGTATGTATTAGCGTCGTTGTCGACTGAGCTGGGAAAGGGGTCGGAGGGGTTGCGTCAAGTGCAGGCGGGCTCAAGGTAAAAGCACCGCAGCCACTGTCGACGTCGCAGTCAGCGTCGCTGCAACGCTAACGTTTTCCGAGTGCAAGATCAAGTAAAGTGAGTGGCCGAAAAATAAGAGAGCGCAAGAGAGAGCCAAAGCAGTAGGGCCGTCTAAATCGACCTAGAGATACTTATTAATTCTTAAGGTATAAACATTTTATTTTATAAATTGGCAACTGACCCGACGAATATTATTAATATTAACCTAAGCCACATTCTATTCCCTCATATCTCAGGCTGATTTTTACAAGTCTAGCTATAACTATTGATGGGTACTTCAGTTAATTCAGTTAATTTTTCATTTAAGTATCCCATCATACCCCATCTATTTAAAGGGTATTTAAGGTGGCCGCGCGGGTGACAATCAGACAAACACTACACCTCTCCTTCTAACACTCAGTGCAGCACAACACCTTCCACCCTCTCGCTCGCTCGCATGCAGTAGGGGCCAATTTTTTTTTAGGCATTTCTGGAGGCGATGCTGTTTAGGCCGCTTTAGTCAAGTGGTGACAGCGACGGCAGCCGACAAACGGCGACGGCGACTGCGACTGAGGTAGCGGCAGAGATCGAGGCAGAGACTAGACTAGCAGCGACTAGTTAAAAAGAACAAATTGACTAAGCATGAAACACGTTTTAGACAGAGGTTTTAGCCAGACTAGCAGCTCGGATCGGAATTGGAATCGTAATCGGAGTTGATGTTGGCAAGAGCGGGATGGCGAGTGACACACTGACCCAATTCCGTGTTTCGATTTTCTGGTTTTTCTTAAGAATACACGTTTTCCGCTGAACGAAAGAGGAAGGGAGAGAGAGCAAGAGAGAGCGAGAGGAGCACAAACACACACGTGTTCGAAACGAGTTGCAACGGCCAAGAATTTTCGCCTGGCATTTTTCAATTTCCCTGCGAGTGACATTTCCCCCGCTCTCACTCTCTCTCTGGCTCGCTCGCTCTTTACGTGATAAACTCACCGTTAACTGAAGTCCTCTTCAGAGACTTCCGATTGGCCGTTGTTGTTGTTTTCGCTGCTCCTTTGGACGCTTACGTTGCTGGATGCGTTACGTTGCCGCTTACGTTCAGATACCGTTTACAGTTGTAGGAATTGCAATGCCGAATTTACCGATTACGTGATGGCACAGGCATATAAATACAATACGCTGTATATTTACTCAATGCTGAACAAGAACAAGAACTAGATGACCAAGACGAATGGGACTACGATGCGGTTGGATTTTGGATGAAACACGGTAGAGATACTATATCTTTAGTTGTTTTTCTAGCTTTTATTGCTTCTATTTAAACGATTTTTTGATGCTCCTCGATATTTGGTGGTGTTTTTCCTTGTTGGTTTATTGTTGTGTTCCGATTTATTTTTATGAGAATTTGACTTATTTTACACTAGAGAACTTACTTCCTACGAATCACAATTAGAAATGAGTGTGAGGCGGTGACCGTTGGGAAAGTTCACTTTTAGAGTGAAAAACTACGCGCCGTCTACTGGGGCACCGAAAAATACACCGAAAAACACAAAACTAGCACTGCTTCGGCTGTGTTGCCTTGTGGTTGTTTCCCAATGAAAAGCCAAGCGGGAAAACTCCTGCGGAAAAGCGCAATCTCTCACTATATCCCTGCTAATGTACTCCGTGTTCAAACTTCGTGACGTAACGCGACAGCGGCCTGGTGGGACTGAGTGTGGGTGGAAAACGCGTAACCTCGGTGCTCTTCTAGTGTCGTGGAAATGCCCAACGCATTTTCCCTTTTCAAAAAAGAGCAGCGAGAGAGAGAGTTGGTGCGAACCCCAAACAGCTGTTATTTTTTCTGGTATGTACCAGAAAAAAATACTAAAATAGCGCGTTCTGGCGGGAAAGTGTTACCAGGCCTGCAGATTTTTGTCAATTTATTGATTTTCCACTTGTTGCTGCCGCCTGTGACTCTCGGAGCGTATAAAAAGCTATTTTGAGAAGCTCAAGCTCAAAACCCGACTTGCAAATTTATTCTCCGAGTATTACCGGTAGAACTGGTCTCCCCGCCGCGGTTAAAAACCCCCCAGCTGCGTTCAAAGCTCCCGCTTTTGACTCACCGCCGATCCAACAAGCGGGGAATTAAAATTTCTCGTGTTTTTTCCAAATCAGTTTTATTTGAGCCGCAAAACTGGCAGCACGCATCATGTCCGCAGGTCGAGTAGTTATCTATGGTGGTAAGGGAGCCTTGGGCTCCGCCTGTGTCGATCACTTCAAAGCCAACAATTATGTGAGTAACCTTTCACTTTCGCAGAATAAGTACAATTAACCATTGTTTTCCTCCTTCAGTGGGTCGGCAGCATTGACTTGTCAGAGAACGAGAAGGCCGATGTCAGCATTGTGGTGCCACGCGATGCTTCGTGGTCGGAGCAGGAGGACGCGGTGGTCTGCAAGGTGGGGGAATCCCTGTCGGGCCAGAAATTGGATGCCGTCATCTGCGTGGCCGGCGGCTGGGCCGGTGGCAATGCCAAGAAGGATCTGGCCAAGAACGCCGATCTCATGTGGAAACAGAGCGTTTGGACCTCGTCCATATCCGCCGCTGTGGCGGCTCAGTACCTTAAGGAGGGCGGATTACTAGCTTTGACTGGTGCTAAGCCCGCTCTGGAGGGCACTCCCGGCATGATTGGCTACGGCATGGCCAAGGCTGCCGTCCACCAGCTTACCCAATCGCTCGGCGCCGACAAGTCCGGCCTGCCAGCTGGATCTTTGGCGGTATCCATCCTTCCCGTAACCCTGGATACGCCCATGAACCGCAAATGGATGCCGGATGCAGACTTTGGCACTTGGACGCCGCTCACCGAGGTGGCTGGACTCTTCCAAAAGTGGACTCAGGGACAGGAACGTCCCAAGACCGGATCCCTGCTGCAGCTGATCACCAAAAACGGAGTCACAGAGCTCGTTGCAGCTGAATAGGACTGAAGATATCGAATACACAGGATCCAAAAAACAGAACAATAATGCTCAAAAAACATAATCTACCAAATGCTTGGCGCTTGTACATAAACTATTCATAAATAAATCGCTGGGCGGCTTTCGATCGTTTAATGTGGGTCTGTTTACACGTTTTGGGGGGCTCTGTGGATAACCTATTGAACTCGGCAGCGGAAAGATCGCATTTAATGTATAATCTTTAGTTTCATTCGTTTGGAGTCAGTTCCTACGCCTTCTTCTTCTTCATGATCTTCATGAACAACACCATACCTGAAAATGGAAAGGGGAATAAACTCATTAGAGATTAAGCTACAGGCGAACTTCAATAAATCAATCTAATTAAAGCAATTAAGCCTCAGGTTGAGTCACAGAAAACTTGTTTGTGTTGAAATTACCTGATATGCGAGTTTTTCATTACAGTAAACAAATATTTTAGCCGGGTTATTGACTTGCAACGATACGTTTAAAACATTTCTTATAAAGAATATTAATTAAAACTACTCAAAACCATTAAATTGCTATTGTAGGCTGTTTTAATTATACAAAAGTTAAACCAAGAGAAACCTAACCTAAGTAAAACCTAGACACGAATTTGTAGCAATTTACTAAGTTTTTAATACGGATTCGATTGCATTTTGACTCTGACTCACCTATAAATGTGACTATTACAAAGACAATCATTAGCCAGAGCCAGCACTTGTAGGCATTTTTTGAATGCTGCTCTAGCTTCTCAGCCTCTTTTCCCAAGGAATTTATATTGCGATCCGCCATTCCTGCGGACCGTGACACAACCTCGGTATCCCTGCGTATGATCCTGTTGGCAGTCTCTGTCTGTTCCTTTAGATTCCGCGTCAGCGAGAGCATATGATCAGTGATCTTCTGCTGGGCGTTTGTGTAATACTTGGCAGCCTCATTCATATTGTCGGCAGAAGTTGTTTGGATGCTTCCGCCTCCGGGACTTGACTCCTCGGCACCTCCTCGACGACGTCGGAGGGCGGCATCGCCATCTAAAAGGGGTTTATAGTTTAATTTTAATTTGTGGAGGTATATTTTGTAAGAGTGTAAGATACATTTCAGGTTTGAGCCCTTAATAAATTAAAGTTCTGGTATGTAAATTCGAATTAGAGCAGGTAATACGAGTTTCTGGGTCAGTTCTCTGCGATTTTATACCTTTTAAGATTTGCAAACAGATTAAAGGCTACAAACTATAAGAGCTATACCAAAGGACAATCTATCTTAGTAATAAAATTCAAATTAGACAGAATTTGCCCATCGACTTATGAATAAATAATAATACTTGTAAGATGCCCCTCTAAATTTCATCAAATCTTGGGAATCTTCTTTAAAATCATATTAAAAAATGAATCTAGATTAAGGGTTTTCCCCAAAAATTCACCCTCCAGCAGCTCCTTTCGCAGTTCGTTGTGTTGCTTTGTGTTTTGCAGCTGTCGCATTTCTTTCAGTGCATTCTCCCCGGCTTCGCTGACCGATGTGGATTGCAATGGAGCATTTGTCGAGGAACTGCTGGCCACTTCCGTGAAACCCGTGGCGATCTTCAACGCCTTCAGGCGCTCCGTGTAGCCCGGGATTCGGCTGGCACTCTGCGGATCGTCCATTGCCTCCAGCTCGGCGAGCATCGTGTCCAGCGACTTGATGAATTTCTGCAGGCGCCAGAAGTTCTGCTCGCTTTTGGCCAAATCCTCGCAGTTGGACAGCAGCGTCCGGATATTTACATTTAGCTTCGTGGCCATTTCGGAGGGGAAAACATGAAAACAACAAAGTACAAACTAGTGGACCCTGGCGGAGGTAAGCAGTTGGCGATAAGTAGCTATCGATAACCAGTCAGTGTGATTAGTGATGGTGATTTAAAATGGCAATAAAAGTAAGTTGGAAACTATATAGATTGAAAATGTCAAATGGGCAAAACATGATTACAACATTTAAAAAAATGTTAAAAGTATAGAATTTATTTTTTTGTTGTTTAAATTAATCAAAATTTGGCTTGAAAATAGCCAAGTTGGCTACCATAACCAGTGGTATTTTTAAGCAAATGCACTAAAAAATACCAATGTCCCTACAGCAGTAGTTATCTGAAGCATACTTTTAGGCGCGCGTCGAGAAATCTTATCAAACGTCTCAATATCAGAAGTTATCAATTAAACCGTCGTTGATAGTTGGCCAGCATATGTGTATTACCATGCAAGCGTGTATTTTTGGTAACACTTGCCGCGCGCCAGGTGTCAAGATCTCACATTCGCTTCTCAGGTAATATGCGCTAGTTTTATAACCGTCAAGTGCCGTTACACTTGACGAGGTGTTATCAAGCAGCAGCTGACGCGGCAAAAACAAAAAATAAAAAACCATCCCTCCGGGGCGCATGTGCTTGTTACCGTTATGTTGACCGCTATGAATGAAACGCCGTTTGCTCTCTCTCTTCACCGCACTCTCTCTCGCCGCTTTCCACTTTCTCTCGCTCTCACACTCCTGCGCAGCAGCAGCGCAGCAGCAGCTAACGGTGCATGTGAAAAAGTCTCCGTCGCCAAACGACGTGAAAATCGAAATCGATAAGTAAGCAACGGATTTCAGGAGGCGAGAAAAGTGCTTGAATTTGTGTAAAAAAACCCAAAGATAACTCCAAATCAATCAAAAAACGAAACCAACAACCCAACCCAAGGCCATGTCCAAGAAGAGTGTTAGCCCAGTGTTTTCAATACCGTAGTTAAAAGCAAAACTAAGCTAGTCCGGGGGTCCGAGAAATCGATACGATATAGCCGAAAAAACGGGGGCTGCTGTGTGGGCTGACGGCTTCAGTGAAAAGTCCCAAGGAAAAATGTTCTAAATTAAGCTTTGAGAAAACGCTCGTCTTAATCCCAATTTTCCTGCCAGTTTCCATTTTAAGTTACATAAGTTACGAGAACCGTTGCTGCGTAGCGAATCCATTAACGGCTTGAGAAAACCACCAACCACCCACACCCATTCACACAGAAAAAAAAGAAATGATAAATAATTTGAAAACAAACATAGGGGTTCTGTTTCAGATACTTTTCTTTATATTTAAAGATATTCAAGATTTTTAAAAGACTTGTTGGTTTAATATCAATAATAACTTAATACTTTTTTTTTTGAAAGTGTGTTTCAAAATATTATTCCAGAATATTTTATTTTAGGCCAGAAATTCATAACTTTTTAATTATATATGTAGAGTCTTTAATTGGAAAAGAGGTTGAGATCTATCCATTCCTTAAGAATTCCTATATATATTTTTGTAAAAACATTTTCTACAGGGATTTAGATTAAAATTTTGATTTTAAAATTAGCTAAATTAACAATAATAATAAATAAAAATAATATGAGAACGCCCGGGAAAGTCTGTTTTTAATAAAACACTTTCTATGATGAATATTAAATTAAATATTCGATTTTATAGCTTTCCAAGCTACCAATTCTCATATCATATCATCCTCCTTTTTGCAGTTGCTAGAGGTAATGTAACGTCATTTGATCGGAACTCAAATAGAAAATAAAAATCGTAGAAAGACCTGATTAAAATAGACAAAGCCCCAAGATGCAGCCGCCGCCGCGTAAGGTAAAGCTACATGAATCTACTATTAACATAACTCGTATTCCTAGTAAACCAATTTAATTGTTTTCTACAGGGAAACTATGTGAAGTTCCTCAAGAACTTGCACACGGAACAGGTGGCCAAGCTGCAGCTGAAGAACCAGCATGAGTGCGACCTGTTGGAGGATATCCGCCAGTTCACCATCAAGCGCTCGGCCATCGAGAAGTCGTACAGTGAGGCCTTGCTAAAGATCTCATCGCAGTATCTGAACAAGAAGATACCCAATATACCGGATATTAAAATGGATGGAATCGAAGAGCGCTGGTGGGTTACCTAAAAGATTATCTAAATATTAAAATATCTCGCAAAAATGTATAGTATAAACATTTACTAATTAATGGTGTTTCCTTTTCCAGGAATATGTGGAGCGTTTGGCGCACTGTTCTAGAGGAGAATGAGAAGCTGGCCCGAGCCCGCTTGGCCGCCATCGAGGTGTTCCAACAGCAGATTGCCGATGAGGCCAAGGTCCTTCGGGACTACAAGTTGGCCATAGCAAAGCGTTCGCTCTCCGGCATTGTCAATGTGCAAAAGGAACTCCATTTGAGTGTAGGCGATGTGGACAAAACCAAAAAGTCTTACTTTGACGAGGAGCACTGTGCCCACGACGTGCGGGATAAGGCTCGCGATATTGAGGAGAAGCTGAAGAAGAAGAAAGGATCCTTCTTTCAGTCAATCACCTCGCTGCAGAAGAACAGCGCCCGGGTCACGTCCCGCAAGGAGTTGCTAGAGGAGAAGTCCTCCGGCGCCAGGAACGACTATGTACTCAGTCTGGCAGCAGCCAATGCTCATCAGAATCGTTACTTTACGGTCGATCTGCAGACCACGATGACAACGATGGAGAACTATGTTTTTGAAAGGGTAGCCGAGTACCTGATGCTAATGGGGTAAGTGGGAGTGTTCATTTCTTAAGGGTATTTATTATAGTAATTATAGATAATATTTATTGAATTTTTCATAGAGAAAAGTGTGCTTGTTGTGGAAATATAATTCCTATTATTTCTTCTTTTCAAATAATCCAAGTACCTAACAAGTAGTTGAAATTATCAAGCTTCCTTATTAAATTACAATATAATTACAATAATTACAATAAATTTATAACCTTGAAGCCTTTCTTTGTTAATTTTTTAAAGTCAAATTATAACCTTTCCTAGTTAATTTCTTACAATTAATTTCTAACTTGGAAGCATTAAGACTTGTTGGTAAAACTTTTGTAATCAAAATAGGGACCATGTCCGATAAAGATATCGGTATGATTCATGGGCTAAAAGAATTTGTAACGGCGCCCTATTTTATCGTTTTCATTACCTAGGCTTTAGCTGGATTGGATTTGTTGGAAAATGAAAATTGTTATCAGTTCTCAGTCCATTAAAATTGATAAAAATGGAAAACGGCAACATGATTAGTAATTTCATGAGCTTAATGATCTAATTTAAAGTACGATATAAGGTTTTATGTACGAAATATAAGAAATATTTCTTATTCTGGTATTCAAATTATACATCTTATGTCTAAATTATTATTTATTTTTATTTAAAAAAGTTATTTAATGAAACCCCAAATACTAGACAAATTTCCACACATTAAATTCCATTTTAATGTTTGATTTCCATTTATTTCCAGACGCACAGAGCTGCTGACCTGCTCGGCCACCCAGAACAGCTTCGGCAAGATCCGCGATCAGGCCCAACAGCTCACCCGGGAGTACAACCTGCAGTGCTGCTACCTGTTCTATCCGGTGCTGAAGCAGCACATCCAGTACGACTTCGAGGCGTGCGACAATGATCCGGTGCGCAAGGTGACCGCGGAGCACGAGTCCGCCGCCGAGACACTGACCAAGGAAGCCAAGAATCTGGCCGGTAGAGTGGTAAAGGAGAACGCCTCGATCCGAGAGAATGCCAAGAAGCTGGCCCTGTGTCAGTCACTGCGGGACTCTGGGCAACGCAGCGATCCCAATGATCCGAATGGACCGGACTTGGACACGAAGATCGAAGAGTTCCGGGATCAGATTCGCCGTTCGGAGACGGAGAAGGCCAAGGCGGAGGCTTGTCTGCAGTGCCTGCGCGATGGTGGCATCAACGTGGACGAGTGGGTGCAGGAGGCAGAGATTATGGGCGTCCAAGAGCTCACTCGCTCGGCCAGTTCCATTTCGATGCGCACAGATGCCTCCGGGCAGGGCGAGAATCCCAGCTCCGATTCCTTTTATGACAGCGACAAGGAGGAGACTCAGGCTCAGGCCTCGGCCCAGGCCAAGCCCAAAGCGGAGCAGCAGCTTTCCCGGGATCGCACTTTCAGCGACAGCGACGACGAGCCCGAGGAGCGTCCATCGGCATCGGCGGCGGCAGCATCTTCCAGCTCGGCCGCAGCAGCGGCTGCCTCGTCAGCGGCAATGGCCACCGGAGGCGGGGGCTGGGACGATCCCACCGAAGTTAACTGGGGGGCCGAGGAGGAGGAGGACAAGGACGAACCGATTGTACCGGAGCCCAAGGAGGCCATCTTCAAGTGTACTGCGCTCTACAGCTATACGGTAAGGGGTAGATTTTCGATTTTAGTTTTCCTTGAAAAACCACCTTCTGGGTGGGTTATCCTTGCAGGCCCAAAATCCCGATGAGCTCACCATCGTCGAAAACGAACAGCTCGAGGTGGTCGGCGAGGGCGATGGCGACGGCTGGCTGAGGGCTCGCAACTACCGCGGTGAGGAGGGCTACGTGCCGCACAACTATCTGGACATCGATCAGGAGACCGCAGGCAGCGCCTTTAATGGTACTTCCGGCAATCAATTGCGCTCTCAAATTTCATTCTCATCTGTCGATTATACTGTTGACAATGAAGATCAGACGGTGGACTCGATGCAATCGCCCGACCAGGTATCGGTCATCATGGCGCCCCAGAAGCGTGTCAAGTCGGATGTGGAATGGTGCATTGCGCTCTACGACTACGATGCCACCGCCGAGGATGAGCTGACCTTCGAGGAGGGCGACAAGATCAAGATCGTGACCAAGACCGCCCACGGTGTAGACGATGGCTGGTGGGAGGGCGAACTGGATGGCAAGTTTGGCAACTTCCCATCACTGGTCGTCGAGGAGTGTGACGAGATGGGTGAACCGCTGAGCGAGGGTGGCGATGAGTCGCCTCCACCCACAGCGGCGCCCAGTTTTGCACTGCCACCGGCACCGGCACTGCCGCCAGAGTATGCCCATGAGTTGGAGCTGGAGCTTACCGAGGATATGTTTGGATCACAGGATACGGCAGGTGAGGAAATAGAACAACTACAAGAGATTTCGAAATCTTTTGAAATGGAGTCTAAAAGAATGCTTTAGAATGTAATTTAAAAAATATTGCATTCTTTTCGGCACCAATTTTAAACTGTTTACGAATTCCTTTGGTTTTCCTAAATATTTTACTGAAAATCCCTCTTATATTTTCCATTTTCCACAGATGAGGATAGCGGCTACATACCGAACGGCGCTGCAGCACCGAGCATGCCTCCGCCAGGTAAATGCCCCCGACCTTGAAACTACCCCTTAGCACCTGGTCTTTTGTTTCCCTTTCTATCTATACCTTTATCCTATACAATTTGTATCTGTCACTCAATATCGATTCCTCTAGTACCGAAAATTTGTATAATTTCTAACTCTCCACTAAAAAACAAAACCTTCGATCCAAAAGTACTGTTTTACCTGCTTCTGTATTCTCTAGAGGTAAACCCAATCTCCAAAAAGCAGCTCGTCTAACTACTAACCACTTGTACCACCACCACCACCAATTCACTACTAAACCACCACTAAAAACCACCAAAATTACAACAAAAAAAATCAAATATTTACCACCATGTCACTGTAACTACTCTTCACTACTCTCTCCGTTAATGTGCTATTTTGTCTCTCGTCTCCAAAAGTCTTCGCAAGTCTCCGCAGCCGAGACGAGATCGATCCACCGATGATATTGATATGCCCTACGATTTCTTACAGTGTTATCCTTAGGTGTCGTGTCGGTGTCGTGTTACCGTTAACTCTCCATCTTCGATTTATTTCTTTTGCAGCTTCTCTTTATCTCTACATTTATTAAAAATATTATGAAAAATACCTGTGTGTGTCTCTGTGTGTGGCACTAAAGTTTCAATTTAATTGCATTTAAAAGCTTTGATTGGTTATTAATTTGTCTAAATATATCACATTTCTTTCTTTCATTGCTGTTTCTTGCATTGGTTGTGTTTTTTCTCTCAGTGTAATTGTGTCTTTGTGTCATTTAAGGCCAGAACCAAAGCCAAACCACTGCCAAGAAGGGTAATTTAATAAATATGCTCTATCTTACCCCCAAAAAATAAACATAAAATTACTATTTCTTGATTCTTGATTCAATAACTTTAGTGTAGGGAAATCTATTCCATTTCCATTGTTTGAGAGCATGACCAAAATATCCCTTTAAACTTTCTTCTTGGTATATATTGAAGTTATATATAATACATTCTCTGTGATACCCCTTTGAGGTTTTTCTATAAACTCTTTATTACTATATCTTCCAATATCTTGAAAGTTACAATGTATATGAAATCCGTTCTTTGTATATAACCATATTAAACTATATATATCGGTTTCCATAATGTAGTTCAGCAATAATCAGACTGAAATTGGGAACCGAAGCTCCGTTCAGCACTGAGAAACCTCTAGTTTTCTAACCCTCTGCCCTGCATGCTTGTCCCCCTCAGATCCGTAAAAATGTTTTTTGAAAGCGTCAATATTTTATTTTGTTTATGCTTAACATTTGCTTTTTTTGAGTTTCCACTTGCCAAAACCTTTTCGTGTACCTTAGATAGTTCTTGTTTCAAGGCTGCCTTGACTTGATCGAGATCATTTTTAGTTCCAACCTCACCGCTCTAAAACCTTTTGATCGATAATGTATTGATATAAGTAATAACTTAAAGCTTACCAAATATTGTTAACTAAGCAAACGCATATTTTCTCATCTATTTTTAATGCATACTCAGTACTCATCCAAGAGCCTGGCATGGAGGTAAAATATTATAATACAAACTGAATATGTACTACAAAACTTTTAGGTTTAATTCTTTAAAAAGTTGTTTAAGAAAAAACAAAAATGATTGTTTTTTATGTTTCTTGAAAGAAGAAAATTTAAAGAAATCATATTTTTCCTTTAAATTGGAAATATAATTTTCATTAAGTTATAAGAAATACGAATTTAAGTAAGATGTTTTCATTTATCTTTTACTTTAAGCATTTTATTTATTTATTTTACACTTATACCATTTAAAATTTAATAAAAATGTTTACTAAATGAATTTCCTTTGCTTTTCCAGGACGATCTCAGTGACGATGGGCAGCCGCCACCATCGTTGCCGCCGCCCCAATTGCCAAAAGCGGGCGGACCCGGACCGGGATCGGGTGAGAAGGGCGCTAAGGGGGCGGCGGCCAGCGCCAACACGCTAAACTTAGGTATGGCACAAATAATTGTTACCGCTGCAACCCCCATGGTTGAAGACGGTGCCGATAAATCTTTCCCACCAGTAGGAGAGAGCGATGCTGCTCAGCCGGATCAGCCGTCCAACAACAAGGAGGAGTCGCCATCGGAGGCTGCCAAGAAGCCAGATATTGCGCCCAAGCCGCAGGGCAAGGTGCCGCCGCAGGCACCAGCTGCTGCTGCTGCGGCCAAAGAAGGTAATCCGGCTGTGGGTAGGCCCGTGGTGAGCATAACACTGACCGAGTATCCATCCTGTGATGCAGAGGACCAGCAGTCCTTCTCGGAGGGCACGGACTCAGCCTCGGCTGCCGATGTACCAGCGTTGCAGGAGGTCGAGGATCCGTTCAACGAGAAGGCCAAGGGCGATTCCGGCGGCGGAGATGGATTTGAGGCCAACTTTGAGGCCAATTTTGATGCCAACTTTGATGACGCCTTCGCTGGCAGCGGAGCAGGATCGGGCGGCGGTGGGGGTGGTAGATCAGGCGGCGAGCAGTCGAGCGATCTAGATGTGAATGGAGAGGCGGCAGGAGAATCGAGATCCGGTAACGGCGATGAGGATATTGAGGCACCCAAGCAGGTGGTCGGTGGGCGAGCTAGCATACCCGAGGAATTGGACTCAAATCAATTGGCACGTTTGCAAAATCTGAAGGAGTCGAACGCTTAGATTCGGAGCTCCGGTCTCTTCCTCTTGGTCGGCTACTTCAATGTTGTTTCTTTTGTTCTTTTAGGCACACGACCATGAGCATGATATATACTCGTACTATATAGACTATAGCCACGGACAGTTGTAGAGCGGATCAGCGGAACACCACAGCCACCACCACCACCAACCTACAACAGTCCTACAACAACACCTTGAAAGAATTTTGATCTCAAAAAACACACACAAACACCTCCCAAAGACCTCCTACACCATATATCCAAAACAAGATCGGTTGAACGTCTCCAGCTCCAAGTTTTTACATAGAGCAGGGGTGCCCATGAAGAACATTAGGAGCAGATCTCACAGAAGTCTCAAAGTTTCAGCCTTGAGTTGGGGATTTCGACTGTATAGCAGATAAAGCCTGACTCAGACGGACTAGAATCGGGCAGCGATAATAAATATTGATAAATTCCACACCTAGTCTATTCTATAGAGTCGCTGCCCGGTGCCACATACAACGACACAATAGCAGGTCAAGATAAACCAATAGAGTATATACACATGTAACTTATATATTATTATCAGGTCGAGATCCAAACCTCTCCCAAAATTCACGTGCAGCGCTCAAATTGTGTACATCCATTTGAATACTTCTTCTGACTGCCTCTGGGGCTATAGTTAGACATCAACTGGGCCTTCATAAACAAAACCACCATACGATATATATACTATATAAATATATACATAATTATGTTAGTTTGTAATGTGTTAACCCTGACGACACGTATGGAATATATACACTGATGATATATATATATTATAATTGAAATATTGTAACGTTTTGAAAGGCAATTACACTTGTAGCACTCAGACACGGGTCTTCGAATATCAGCAGCATCCGCAAAACTAATCGAGCAATAATAAATATGTATATATATCTAAGTAAACTAGAGAGAGACCGTTCAGCAGCCTTAAGTTCGCTTGATCTAACCAAACGCATATTATTAGCCACGTGAAACCAACAACAGCCAATCAATCAATGAATGAAGTTTCGAGTCAATTCAGTTGGTTTTGTTTCGATTCGGATCGCCCCCTACTTAGTCCTAGGATCTCTGCACATTATATAGTAAATATTAATCGAAGCCGTAAAAGAATATGTACTCGGGAGGAGAGGATGTCATGTATTGTTGTAATTGTGTGTGCAAAACACTAGCCTAATTAGTTAAATGTTTTCCGTGTCTAGTTAAAAATGGTCTAAGTTAATGTTGGATGCCAGAAAGAAGATATTTGAAATTAGAGAAGAAAAGGCCTACTCACCACGAGACTGTGCTTGCGATACTCGTATAATATATTAAAATTCATAGCTCACCACAATCGGATAACTCTTCATATTCACATAACCGATATGATATATTATACAGTGCATTGATATAGAAATGAAAACTGAAGCAAAACGATCCTAATTAAGTCGCAAACTGAATTGTAATTGTAATTTTTGCCCCCAGTGAGTTAATCAAAGTTTTATGTCATAGTTTGAAAAAAAAACAACCTTCTGTTCAAACAACTAACAAATAAAATTTCCACTTTAAAGCAAGAGAAACCCAACCGAGTTTTTCCTAAAAAAAACACCTTTGAATTGTAATTTTTTTACATATCTTTATTTATATTCACTTCATTGCAATATTATAATATTTTTCCTTCTTGGTTTGCATTTTCTCCTCTTGGATGTTTTTAGTTTTAGTATTTAACTTAATAATATAGGTTCCTTCTTGGGTTTTATCATTTACGTTTCTTGTAACATTCATCTCTCTTATTATTTTCCTCATTTTAATTATTTTTGTTATGTGTGTGTGTGTTTATTCTTTATATGCTATAGATAATTATTCTCATTTCAGTTTGTTTTGTATTTTTTTTTTTGTTTTTCAATTTTGTTTTTCATTTTATATAACGAAATTAACACAGTCAAAATTTGTGATCAGTGATCAATCATTACATACGCATTACGTTTTAAATTATTTCTCATGGTTTCTCCTCAAACATATTCTGGCTTATATACTTATGTGGGGTTTTCTTTTCTTCTTCTTTATATTTTTATTTAGGATCCTGGGGGTATATCCTTTCGAGGCTGTTGGGGGATGGGGCAACCGAAATTCTGGGGGCTGGAAATAATTGTCTGAGGGGGGAAACCAATAATTGACAGCAGACCAATATGTGAGAGCTTTAGAGAAGGGGCTGGAAATATGGGGATAAACGGGCTGGCTGGCTCTGGTAATCATAAAAATGTTCATTTATTGCATTTAGGAACTCTTTTTGATGGACGGATAAACCAAAAATTATATAGACACTCGTGTACTCGATCGCCTCCTGCCTGCTGCTCCTCCCTCCTTGTTGTAGCTGTTACTGCATGACGATAATATGAGACTTGAACCTGGTAATTTGATATATATGTATCTGAGACAAATCATACACACGTACAGTTAGCCAGGGCCCGCGGGAAAGGGTTGATTTTCAGAGGGGGGGATATTACTTGCAGGTGCTGAGGTCCCTAATCTTAAAATGTAATAACAAATTTTCTTACGCATCTTTTCCTTGCTTGAGCAAAAGGTGTAGGGACTGTGATTCGGGGGCGGGGTCGCTCTAAAATTAATGCTCCGTAATTGATATTTAATAATTAATAATTAATAATGACGCAACAAACTAAAAGTATGCAACGTACAACCATAAGTGTGTGTGTGTGTCGGTTAGTGTGTAACTTCATTCTAACAATTCATGGTTCAATCAATATCGCGTCCTCTCGTCTGGCTGCCTAGGGTTATAGACTATTTGCATTTCAACTTTGAATTCATTTTAAAAATGTCATTATTATTTACGTGTTTTTTGTCGGTGCACTCTGCTTGAACGGGGAGCCGGTTTTTATCAGTGTAACTGTCTGCTTTCTGTGTGTGGATTCAACTTAATCGCTAAGGTTCTCAACTTGTTGGTTTGCTTATCTAAATACTTTAGAATTTCCCTTTTGGTTTTTGCTTGTTCTTGAGACCACCGTACATATATAATATATAATTAAATATACATCATATACATATACATACGTAATTATTACATCGCGTCACGTATATATACCCGATCCTCTCTCTCTCATATAATTTTTACTTATTTATTTTCTCCCTTTCGGTTGCTTTATAAAACGTTGGTGTTGGTGCCGCCGTCTAAACAGCAACACCAAAAATGCTTCAAACATTTCATTGTGTGTATAATTTAACATTTTACATATTTTCATTTTCTCCTCGTTTTGTTTCTTATATTTTCTCCTCTTACTTTTGTTTTTGTTTGTCCTAAATGCTCTCCCGCATACGCACACGGTACACGGTACGTATGCGCGTTATTCATCGTCTTGCATCGTTAATTTGTTTATAAAAAAGTTCCCTCTCACTATGGCCAACTAAATTTTTGGTTTTTTTCCACACAAATGAAATCGTAAACTAGGTTCGGTAGAGTAAAAAATTCCATATGAAATTATTAAACGCATCAACTTGCCATTAAGTGTTAGTGTATGTGTGTCTCTTAAAATGTTGTCAACTCTATTCTGTATTTTATTTACTAAACTAAAATTTCTTTTCTTTTGTTTTCATTAATTTACGTTCTTTGGAAATACGCTCCGAAACCGTTGAGCAGCTATTTGTTGTTGTTCTTCTTTTCAAAAATGTACTTTGACTTTCATATAGGGGATTAGACTTCAATATATAGCATTTTTTTACAAATGACTTTTACTCGCGACCTTACTTTCTTTTTATAAACATTTTGATTTCTGTCTTCTCGGTAACATAATTGATTTCTGCCATTTGTATAGCTACAAAATATATATAGGTGTATATATATGTGTGTGTGTGTGTATGTTTATATTTTTAAGCAGATATATATATATTATTTATGTTCATTTATCACCGATTTTATTCTTATGTGTTCGCCGCATCTGGGGCTGCTACTATTTTTTTGGGAATGTTCTTCTGTGTTTGCTTGGTAGTTCAATTGCTGTTGGCTTCAAATCCGTTTCACTTGGCTCAAAAAACGTATAACAAAGAATTACAAAAGAATCAGTTAATTAATTAATTTCTGGTAAACCTTATATTGCTTTCTTTCCACTCAGAATACTAGTTTGGATTTGGATACACTTTAGCCAGTACAAAATTGTAATGAAATGTAGTTTCCTGTTGGAACCTTTTACCAAGGGTGGCAAAGCAGACAAAAGACAAGGATAATTCCTGGCTAAAGGGTATCTAATGGTCGATTTCTCGACCATCGTTATTTTTTATTTACTTTTGTTTAAACCTTTGCTTGTGTAAGTGTGTACGTGTTGCGTGTCTCTGTCTAGATCTTTAATAAAGTAATTTTCCTTGGGGTCTCTTCTGTAGTCGTTCTGCTGAATTGGTTAGGTAGTCCTTAGAGAAGGGTTTTGGGGTCTCGTCTTAAGTATATAGGGTTCCATAGCTGATCCACTCCTTACACTGCCAGTGTTCCATTCATAAGTACTTTTCGTATATACAGTAATTGTTTTTTGTTTTTTGTTTTTGGTTTTTTTCGGATTAGGGCAATTTGGTTTACATATAAAAAACTCGTGCTACATATACGTAGGTGCCTAAATACGTTATATATGAATATATATATATATCTCATATATACTTGTGTAGTCTATTTACATACAAGTGTGTGTGTCAAGTGTGGCTATGGCCATATTATGGCGTTTAACTAAATCCTAGCTTTAATTTTAGCTAACTGTACAAAATTCTTTAGCCTTACGATCTGCCCTTGCACTAATCATAAACACTAAATTAAAATTCATTGATGATATCTTGGTATGGTTGCTTGCTTAGTATTATCTCCATTGTGCTAAATTGTATGCTTTATTATTTATTTCTTTATTTTACGTTTAAAGTTAAACTCACTTGCCTTTAATTATGTGTTCAATTAACTTAACCATTTTGTTTTTTACTCCATTTGTGTGTGTCTGTGATTCATCGAGGAACTTGAGCGAAAATTCAAATATATATACGTCTGTCTGTTTGTCTGTCTAGGTGTCTGATCAAAGAGAATATAGAAAATAAGATGCGTAACGCGCATACATTTGAATTTCCTGAGCTTTGCAGGCAAACCTAGAATTTCTGGGAATAATATCCTATTTCTTCTAAGGAAGTAAAGAATCTAGCTGTAAAAAATAATACGGCGTTACTCATCTTACTTTGCCTTTGCCCTGACCTGTGTGTATCCGTGTATCTTTAGACTAACTTAAGACGGTGCATCGTAAGTATCTCTTGTATGTTTATCGCTTTATTGACTGCTTGAACGTTTCTGAGTTAACCGCTTAACTAGATTCAATTAATTTAACTAAGTTTAATTGCGAAGTTTTGCTCCTACTTTGCTTTGAGAATATTCCGAGTTCCGAGTGTGTTTTTCTTATGTACAAATTGAAAATCAATTATCATCATGGCCCATTCTTCTTGTTTGTTTGTTAGCAACTATTTGTTAGACTTATACACTATTTTCTTAGGCAGTTTCATTCATACTTGTGTACACATATTTCTATGCATGTTCTATTTGCTATTTTGTATTTCGCTTTAAATTTTATTGGTATTTTATTGGGCTTACGTTGTCGTGTTTTGAAAAATGTTTCACTTAGACTTTAGATTGATTTCTTACGGTGCCGTAAAGTTGTCTTCGAAAAGTTTTTTTTTGAGTTTGATTCGATTCGTGAGTTGAGTGTGTGATTGAGTGCAGTTTTGAATAATTTGTTTTGTTTTAGTTGTCGTTAAAGTTGATATAAAAATTTGGTGTAACTAAAATGAAACGTTAACCGTTCATATTATTTCGCTATGTCAATTGCACTAACTATTTGTATGACTTATCCTCCGATGCTTGCTTATAAAAGGTGCGCTCCAAAGTAATTCATAATATCGTCTTTCGTATTATTGTGTGTGTGTGTGTTTTGGTGTGCAAAATGATTAAAAACCGCTCGTTACGTCGTTCGATTTACATTTATAGTAAAGTTAACTTAAGGAAATCATTCGCTAAACCGATTCTCAATTGTCGAAATTTATTCCTTTGCACTACGTCTTGATTTCTAATAAATTTGGCCATTTCACTTGGAAGCGCTAAGTCAGTTCTGAATAAACAAATCAACCAACTGAATGGGCAATCATTGGATCAATATAGTGAGTTAGGCTTTGGTTCTAGATTTGCTTTTGCTTTTGCTTCTGAGTTCTGAGAGCGTGCAGCTGAAGAAGGGGATTTTACGAAGGGAGAACGCACTTAAATTAGAGGAAGACTCTCCGAGTGTTTTGCGTTTTTGAAGTGGGAAGCAAAGGTCTTTCGTTAATCTTAAAAATCTTGAACTCAAAACGCCGCAAAGATATTGGATCTTCATTGTTGAAATGGACATTCTTGGATATTCTCTGGTATATCGTCTATTACTTGTATTTTTGGTATGTTTATTTTTGAAATCAACTTTTTCGACTGCGCTATTTCGAGGGTTTTCCTTAGTCATCCTTCGCGTTTCTTCTTCTGGGTTTTTTATTTTGCTTTTGTTTTAATGCCTATGTTGCGTATGATTTTTTATCGTTATATTTTTGTGGTTTTTAGTTTTGTTATGGTTTCCTCAACACTTTCACTTATGCCTTTCGTTATATAATTTTCACTACAATTTGCTAATCTGTTGCTTTTGATTATTCTTCATTCATTTATACTCTTTGGGTTTGTTAATTCTAAATTATTTTCTGTGTAAATCTATTTAACAATATTCTTTGCTTTCGACCTTGTAATATGTGTGTGTCCTTTTCCTTTCGCTTGTATTGGTATTAAACAATAATTTCTTGCCTTTGCATTTTCATATCGCTAGTTAAAATTAGTTTTGTTTCCGCTTACACTTTTTGTTTTTGGTTTTCTCTTTTTTTTTGTATCTATTTATGTGTATTTTTTTTTTTTGGTTTTTGTTGGGAACCTTTGGGGTTCCTCCATTATTTATTTTGTGTGGTTTTTCAGCGCCCTGCACAGTTTGACTCTCTCGTGCGCTGTTCACTCCTGTGTCCTTGGGGCCAGGCCCGCCGTCGTTTCGGGGACGCAACGCCCCCAACTTACTCCTCGCCGAGGAGCACCAGATCATCGGCGACCACGTCGCTGACATGCAGGTAGATGATCCAGTACATCAGGTTGAAGCACACGAAGCACACGGGGAAAACGATGCGCGAGTACTTGTCGATGTCCGAGGGCGTGATGCCCAGCAGCTTGTTGATGTCCTGTTTCGAAAAGGATTGAGGTTTAAGGGTTAAAAAGAACATGGGGAATTAGTACTGGATTTTAGAATTTACAAAAATAAATTGGATTAATATTAATAACTAATATATCCTGTTTCTTGTGAACAATTAGCTTTGAAAGACTTTAGCTTTTGAGACATTTACACGCTTAAGATTTATTTACGACTTTCTTGAGGGAATTTCCGTTAAATATATAATATTTTGTATGTTTTTATAATACAAAAATCGTTAAAAATATAGTTTTATTTAAGAAACGAAATCACGACGAAGTTACAAAGACCACTAGTTTTTTTAAATCTCCTTAAAACGTGTCCTAAATTATGCAATAAAATGTCTGCGGCTCCAAATATTCAAACATAATCTTTAATATATTTAATTATATTTTAAAAATGTGTCTTAATATCTATATTTACGATAAAATATAGTTTTGGACACTTCTATTAGCATTTTCAAATCCCTATCTAAATAATCTGATAAATAAAATGATCACAAAAAGAACTCCCAAAAAGTATACAAATATTCTCCCAACCAAATCGCATATTTACGATCTTTACCTTTACCTTTTTTACTTTCCCCGGATGCAGTAGATGGGCTGGGACCGCTGCTTCCGGATCGCCGCCGCCTTCGGGCGGTCCGCCACCTCCTCCGCCGCCGCCGCCACCACCACCACCGCCGCCCGGACCACCGCCCTGCCCTGGACCCGGTCCATGGGATTGGGGTCCACCGCGGCCGCCATTGACCGTATTCTCCAGGGTGCCTCCCTTGGAGTGGGCCTTCGGGTCGTGGACCTTGAATCTCACCTCCTGGAACAAGGGTCCCACTATCGAGCAACCGCGCGTACCAACGTTTTGTTGGATATTGGAAAAGCCGATTGGGCGGTTACTCACTGTTTGCTTGGGCGCATGCGGATGCCCGTGGCTGTGGGCGTGATGGCCATGCCCGTGGCCATGCTCGGGACCCATGCCCATGCCCACGCCCACGTTCACGCCGCCGCCGCCGGGTCCGCCCGGTCCGCCAGGACCCATGCCGGGACCGATTCCACCTCCTCCTCCGACGCCTCCTCCTCCTCCACCGCCCATGGTGGCATTGGGATTCGGATTGGCCTGCTGCTGGTTCGCTCCGTCGAGCTGTTGCTTTTTCTGCTCGGCTATCTTTTGGATCGCCATAAATCTTTGTTTTCGCATTTGAATTCGTTTTGCCATGTAGCCGACGGTGGCGTATTCTATTGATTGCGATATACGATATACGATATACGATTTGATTGGTTTTGATCGATTTTGATTATCGGATTTTTGATGGTTGATTTTCAAGTTTTGACATGACAATTTGCATTTCGAATATATATTTGAAAAGGGCGGTTTTTGATTTTGGAATTTTGTCATTTTTGAAGAGATTGATCGATTTTTGATTCGATGATGGACGGTTTGGCATACGGTTGGGTGGTAGGGTTTAGAAGAAGTAGTAGAAGGTTGATTTGATGCAGATGCAGTTCATAATTTAGAGTCGAGTTCGAGTTTGAGTTCAAGTTCCACATGAAGTTCGGATGATTTTGGTTGTAGTTGATATATAGTCAGATATATAGTTGTTGAATTGTTGTTGTTGTTGGCAGTAGTAGTTGGTAGTATACATTGTATATATATATTTTGGTAATTTGGTGCGGGTAGGTTATCGATATTTATCGGTTACAAAGAAAGATAGAAAAACAAAAGAAATTTAGTTTCCATGAAGAATTTAGCAATCAATTTCAGTTCATTTTGGCACAGCGTCTAAAAGAGGTGAGATTTGGGAGAATATGTAGGGGGGATGTGGGTAATATGGGTATTAGAGGGTTAATAGGATTGGGGTAGGCTTTTTTCATAGACTATAAGAAACATTTAGAGTCATTTGAAGCAAATATTGTAGATTGTTTCAGTGTTTTTGCTTTCCTTTTTTGGGTTTCTGGGGTAAGTGAAATCAAAAATTGAAGTGAATTTATATTCGTATTTTCATTTTTAGCCAGGCAAAGGAAAATTCGAATAAAGCAAGTCTTGTGTAAGTGTGTGAGTGTGGTGTGTATGTGTGTGTGTGAGTAAGTGAGTTAGCAATATACTAGAAAAAAAAGGAGAGACAGAGCATTTGGAGTGTGAGAGTGAGTGTTCGTGTTGACGGTTGTTGTTGATATTGTTGTTGCTGTTGTTGTCGTTTGTTGCTGTTGTTATTGTTGTTGCTGTTGTTATTGTTTTTGTGAAATGAGTGGAAAAAGTCATTTGTAAGCCAAACGATTTATGTACACATTTATTTCTGCAGTTGAGACCATCATTCAAGGAAAATGTTCGTGTGCGTGCCTTAAATGCAAATTCATTGAACAGAGAGTCGCCCGTTATAAAGGACACGAAAATTTCCATCATTTTGTAGTTGTTGTTGTTGTTTTTGTTGAGCCTTACAGCTTTTGTTCCTGGCTTTCAGCCTCTCTTCTTCTCTTCACATCGGTTGTCATTATCCTTGGGAATGTTACGAATTCAGATTTCAATGGAGCACACTGATTGAGCGGTGTTTTTTTTTTGTTTTTATTTGGGAGGAGGGTACTTTTTTTTTAAGTGTTACTGGGAAAGTCCAACAAAATCGCATACTCGCCGATGAATGTGTTAGAAAGAGGTGGAGGAAACTAAGTCCGATATGTTATAACGCGACAAAAGATTAATCGCCTTGAAGGGCATATCGAAAGTGAGGAATTGCAATAAATATCTAGCGAAAATATCGCTGGCATTAATCGAAAGATGTCGAAAAAATATTAAAGTAAATACAAACCTAATATGAAAATAAATTAAATCGGACAAATATATCAATTTCGGTTATATAAAAAGCATTTGTAATTTTAATTACTTTAAAATATATCGATACTTTCCTTATATGTTGATCGATATACAACGATAAACGGTTTAGAATATTATAGTTCGAGTAATCGATATAAATTCGAAAATAGTTGCCTAATAATTTTATAACAATCTGATGTAAATTCATATCTTATCCACAAACAAATGTATAATCGCGATAATAATTTATGTATTTAATCGATATTTGTTGCCATCCCCGAAAAAGTTTTGAAAAATGGTTGGGGGAAGTAACGAGTAACGAGTAACTAGTAACGAGCGTACTTACCAGGGGCCAATGGGGGGGTCAACCAATCGCTGCAAAAAGCCATAAAACAAAACAGAAAGCAGACTACGAATCATATCTTACCTAACCTCTGAGGGGTTTCTAAATGGTGCAAGTTATTTTTACATTTTCTTGGTCGTGGCCATTTGGCAGCCTTCATGTCTGGGACCCCCCTTTAAAGGACCCAAACTTGAAGGCTCCAAATGTCAGAAATTTTATACATTTTTTTTTTTTTTTTTTGGCGCACTTTCTACGTTATTTTTGGGTTATTTTGGTTTGATTGGGCTCTGTTGTCTTGAAGAGTCTTCGGAGGCTGCGTCTTCTGGCTGTTGATCGACGACTTGTTGAACCATATTTACAGTGTTTTGTGTCTGTTCTTATTTTTTTGTATTTGTTTTTTGATTCAATTCAATCGCGAGTCAAGCCAGGTGTGGCGCAGGGCATGCTGGTTTCGTTTTTTTGTATTTCTTGTTTGCGCTCTCCCTTCTCAGTAATTGTTACAGGTGGGTTTGATTGATCGATCTACTCGTACCCTGGGCTCTGAATTGGTTTTGATTTGGTTAAGGTGCGTTGGTTTTTGGTTTGTACATTTTACTTTTCGGTTTGCGATTTTTTTGTTGCAGCTTGCAGTTGGCAATTTGCAGCTTGCGGTTTTGCATTTGGCGGAAGCTGGGCGTATATTGATATCTGGGTACCATTTCAGGTTGAAGTGTGTTCGCTCAAGTGTGTGAGATTTGCTCGTCTGGGGTGCTCTTGAACACAAGCTCAACCTGAGTCGGCTATATAGTTAGGCTATATATATATATATGTATATAAATGGGCATATATACGGGCGTATATATGAAGAGAGGCTAATGTGGCTTGGATATTGGATTTTTGTTGTCTTTTGAGGCTGAAGCATGCTTCGATTCTAGGTGCGATGTGCAAAACGGTTATGGGGTTTTCGGGGTTTTCCTTTCTTTTTTTGTTTGTTGTTGTTTTGTATTTTTTGGGTGGGACGTTGGGGGGAAATTTTCGTGCCTTTACGCTCGGTTCGCAGGCGCGTATCTATGAATTTGCATACATTTTCTTTGGATGACAGTTTTTCTTTGTATTGAAAAATTAACAAGAACATACAAATACGAAAAAAGAGATTTGTTTTCTTTTGGGTTTCTTTGCAGTTTCTTTTCTTTAGCTTTAGCTTTTTCTTATTCTGTTTTTTTTCTTGCTGTTGTTGTTGCTGTTTGTTGGAGTTGTTGTTGTAGTTGTGGGTGTAAGTTGTTGCTTGAGAATTGTTTTAGTTGTTAGACAGTTAGAGAGAAAGTTAAAGTTAGCATTTCGACCGGGTGACGGCATCAAAGCTTGAGATATTTTTGAGAAACTTTTGAAATACAATTTTGAAATTTGATATATTTAACGAATTTTGGGATTTGGAACCGAATTTATAATATATATTTCAAGCTGGCCTGACCCATTTACAGTGCCTCAGGTGCAGTGCATTTCAGTATCCTTATAGATAAGACGCTCAGGGTCTGTTGGCTCCATAAGAAATGTGAAATCTTTGAAGATTTAAGAGTTGTTTTAAAGTTAAAGATTAAACTACAGTGGAAGGGCAAAACTGAGCTGCTAGTTCCGAATGGGGTTTTACATTTTATTTAGAAATTTCTCAAAATGCAGACGCAGTTTTGCCGGGGAAAACTAGAGTGTGTAGTTGAGATGTATCTGCAAGATTGTTTTCTTCTGTGACGCTAAGCGTGGCACGGAAAGCTGGCAAAGGTGTGTGTGTTTTCATTTTTCTTTTGATCTGTTTACGAAAACGAAAACTTAAAGATGGCGCGCCACTCTGTCGACTTGGAGGCGCGCCCCGAAAAAATGGCTGAAATCAAAACGGAAACGGAAATAAAACGCGAAACAAATCTTGGAATTTGCAGAGATCACAGAGACATCTGCCTTCGTGTAAACGAGAGTGTGTGTGTGGGTTGTTGTGTGTGTGAGAGATTTATGGGGTAATATTCGTTTTGCTACTGGTTTTTGGTTCTTGGTTTGGAATCGGAATCGGTTTTCGGGGGTTAAGTGGTAGTAGTAGTTTTTGGTAGTTTGATTTGTTTACCCAGTAGACTGGCAAAGACCATAACGAAGCATGTTCCCAGATAGACGTCAATCGACTTGACGTACGAAATCTTTGGCAGCGCTGCGTTTGTTGACGACATCAAAGTGGTCATTGTCAACACGGTTGTCACACCGAGCGCCACACGCGCCGGCGTTGCATTGCGATTGAGCCAAAATGATACCCATGATATAATAACGATCAGTCCAGAGGGTATGTAGATTTGAATAAGGTAGTAGCCCATCGAACGCACGAACTGAATTTCGCAGGCTAAGCGCGAATAGTTGCCTGCCCTCGCCAATTAATTAATTTGTATTTTGTTTATTATTTATCGTTTTTGTTTTGTTTTGTTTTTTTTTTCGTATTTCGATTTTTAATTTATCATTTCGTTCAGCGTGTTTGAAAAGAGCGGGGAAGAGAGAGAGAGAGAGAAAGAGTAGAGAGATACAAAAATATTATTAGTATTTTGCTCGCTGAAATCGAATTCATTTGCAATTATTTACAAACAATATTAGTAGGTTTTCTTCACCAACCAAAAATGTAACAAATAAAGTTCAAAACAACCAAACCGAAACTCTAAAAAGAGAGAATAAATAAATTAAGTATATGAGCGCATTTTTATGTGAAATTATGAGTGGCTGGCGGCACTGTGGCACCTTCCTGGAAATATTGTTAGTCTCGATCTAAGCGACGCTTCGTTATCAGGCAGGCATTACTTCAATAAACAGATTTAAGTACTAAAATATTGGGCTATAAACGAAATTGGCAAATTGTCAATTCAAAGCTAGGGTCAAGAACTAAACTTTAAGAAATATTCTAGGCATTCCACAAAGGGTACTTGCAGAAAATAATATTATGCTCTTAGGCTTTTCAGAAACAGTTTTCATTTATTTAAAAATGTACAATTTTAATTTAATTTTATTTTCAGTATTTCTGCAAGAACCCCTCTGCACTTCGACTAAACCGAAGCAAATAATTATGGTTATTGGAAACAAATATTAAATTAGTTTGGTTAGTCACGAAATACTTGAGAAATAGAAGTGGCTTGCATTATAGGGTAACTAAAACTGACCGCAAATCTCAATAAAAGTAAGGTAAATAAAAGGATAACTTAATATGAGTAGAGGCAGCTAGTCTAAGACCTAATAAGGAGCATTTGAATTGCCTGCAATTTTTGTTGCTGTTGTCTATAGTTATATATTTATTTTGTTAGAGGATTTTTTTGTAAAAGAAACTTTATAAGATGAGAGCATGCTTGGGAGGGCGTTTATTTGTTTTCTCGATATATATATATTTTAGGGGTATTTTTTGGCTTGTTATATATAAATATATATATATAAATAGTATGTATATAAGTGATTTTGAACTTTTTATTGTTTCTCGTTTGTTAATTTTGCATCTTTAATTTTTTCTTATATTTTTTTTTTTTTGTTGAGAAAAGGTTTGAATTCTTTTTGCGTATGGAATTTGAGTAGAATTTTAATAGATGTTGCATTACTTTTGTTCGATTTGGGATTTCAATATTAATTAATGCTTTGTTGTAGTTGTTGATTTACAATACAGAATGTTTGGTGTTGATTGTCGTTGTTGTTGTTCGATTATGCTAATGAGTTTCGATAGCGTAACTGGTAAATACTTTTGTAGATCGCTGTTGTTGTTATATTTGGTAGTAAAAACTAATTTCTGTGACTAGTTAATAAAATTATGTGTATGTGTGTGGGTGTGGGTATGAGTGTGTTGGTGTTTTGGCAGCTTAAAAATTTGAATAGATTATGTTGTTGTAATAATGCCAGGCATAAATCAAAAGCATGATTTACTAAGGAAAAGCCATATTCAATTAAGCTTTGCTATAATCGATTACTTGATGTTCTCAGTTTTTGCATAGGATCATTTTCATTGTTGCTTATTTTTGGTTTCTATGATACAAAGGTCGCTAAGTGAATTGTTTTTCAATTGCATTTTGATTCGTTTTGGATTTTTTCCATTTCAGGGTTCTTTTTTGTTTTGTTTTTGGCACTGCCAATGATAGAGGTTATAGTTTTAATTCTATTTTCATGGCATTTCTATTTTTTTGGTATGGTTCGCTTTAAAGTATGAACTTATGAGCGTTGAAATCAAGGCGGAATTAACTAAGAGTCGAACGAAAAAATAAAGCCGAAAGAAAATCAATTTGATGAACGAACTAAATCGGAATATTATTGCTAGCTTGTAACATGCGTTGATTTTGCGTTTAAAGATATATGAACAGTATCCGGTAGGTACAAGTACGAGTAAAAGTGGGAGAAGCTCTAAGACGCGTCTTAGTCTATCAGACTCTAGACTATGAAGTGGGCTAATGCTAAATGCACTTGTTAATGCTATTATTATTTAATTGTTAACGTTATTGCTTGGTATTTTGGTATGCTATGGAGTAGATTAGTTGATGAAACAAACGCTAGCTAAATGGAAAAAGAAATTATGTAAAAATCGTTGGATGCTTTTAACATGCTTTTTTCTGGAATCGCCCTGCTTGAAGCACTTTCGCTCTCCCTGATTGAATCAATCAGAGGTGGGTGCTTGAAGCAGGCTTCCATTTACCCGGAAATTAGCCCAAGTTTTTTGGCAAGCCTGTTTTTTTTTTATTGAATTTGGAGAACATTGTACAGAATGCTGCTTGAAAATTAGTTCGAATCGAGAAATTAAGAACTGAACGAAACGAAAGTAAAAGCCTCAAGAGTAGAATTGAATTGAAAACGCAAAATCAAATCGATATAGTTATATGCAGGGATGCTACACAGAAGTCTCTAGTGATTTGGTTTCACTTAAATATAAGCCCGAAAGTATGCAGCTTCATCAATTCCAACAATTTCGGAAGCTAACAAAATATTTGCATACTTTTGGGCACCTTCTCGTGTGTTCTTTTGAAATCACTGGAAAGTAATTCCAAAAGTATGCAGTTATACAAATTGTATTTCTTGTTTAAATCTCAAATTTTTGCTAGCCAAATTGTTGCATACTTTTGGACACCCTTTCAAAGTGATTTCAAATAACCAGCGATTATTGTGGCACCCCCGATATAGTATATGGTATATAATAGATATATATTTATATATATAAGATAAGTCATCATCGGTAGTTATTCGTAAATATATATAATATATAGGTAAAAGTAAAGTTTGAAAGAAAATCGGTAACCGTCTACAGGTACCTGTGGTAAGACTGATTTCCATAGCTCTTTGGCGATGACCCAAGACCTTAAATTGGGGCAGCGAAACCTCACTCGAGACACCGACCGAGTTGGGGCCTTCGTTCCATTTATAGCGGATGTCACGCATCGTGTAGCCGACTATATATGGTGTATATAGTTTGGTTGTAGTTGTTATTGTTGTTGTATTCGTTGTAATTGTTGTTATGTTTGCAAATTGCATTTTGTACAGTTTGGTGTTTTGTTTGGTTTTGTTTTGTTTTTGGATTTTTGTTGTTGGGCGAGTTTATTATACAGTTGTTTTAGTAGCAGTTGTTGTTGTTGTTGTAGGCACAGTTCGTTGGTGAGGTTGTCGTTGTTGTTGACGAAAAATATGCATAAAACAAAAAATACATTTCGTGAGACTATTAAAAAGTTCTATTCTATCATTTAGAAAATTTCATAACAATTCAAATACAATTCGTTTTGTTCGCAGTGTGTTTTTTTTGTTGGTTTATATATTTTTTATTACATTTTTAACATTTTCGATTATCTTTTTTTTTTTTCAGTTTTTTTCTTTCTTTCGATTAATAGTCTCATTCAGAACTTGTCGCTTTAAGTGTTGTTCAAAAATATATTTTTTGATTTATTCCATCGAGAGAAGAAACACTAAGATAATGAATTGTTCGTATATTACAATTGCGCTAAGAATGCATTATAATTGTATGATATCCATTGGCAAAGCATAACTAGGACTAAGGTTGAGGCTGAGCATTTTAGTAGGCACGCTCTGGTTGACTTACAGCTACTGTTTGTTCTTATTGGCAGTAGTAGTTGTTGGGTTGCTTAAGACTAGTAAATATTACACTTATCACTAGGTGTCAGAAATGGGTGCTCTTGTGTCTTCTGTTTATTGTAATATAGTAGTTATATATAGCTATTGGCTTTTACAATGTCTTCGGGCCTTTACTTAAATAGTTTCTTAGTTTTCGTAAGCGTTTTAGCTGATTTTGCCTACCCAAGCAAACGAATCTGGACTCTCTTGCGACTCTGGAGGAACATGAACCAAAAATGTGAAACTCAAACGAAAACGGGGTAATCGAGAAACGATAAACGCTGGGCCTAACTAACGCTCACTACGCCACTAACTGCTGCTTTACTGATCGGTTAATTAGTTAAACGGTTAATCGGTTTGGAATTCCACAGTAAAAACATAACAAAGGAATAGAAGAATAGAGAATTAAGATGAAATCAACGAGTAGTAGTCACAACAGAGGTTAGTAGAGGACACTTCAAACACAATATATATATATGTTAAGATGGGGGTTGGTTCGGTTTCTGGTTAGTAGCACAAGTTACGGTTAGCACTCGATAAAGTTATATTGATAAATATATATATTGGTGAAGAAGGAGTAGAAGTAGAAGTAGACGGAAAAGAACACAAAACTTTTGCTGGGTTTTAAGGTGCGACGGATATGCGCTAACCCTTTGTTTTTTAATATATATATTTTTTTTTGGAAACACACAAAATGAAAATACGTTTACGAAATTCATTACGACAAACGCAAAACGGTTAAAAGTTCAGTTTGGTAAAAATGCTTGTTAAAAACGAAAACAACAAAGAATATGGTAATGTGATTATATTGATGTTATAATTGATTTATTTTTTGCATATATATATTTATGTTTTATTTGGTTTTATGATTTTGTAATGTATGGGGGTACCTGTGGTTAGGTTTATTTCGGTCGCCCTCTGCCTGTGTCCCAAAACTCGGAACTGCGGTAGTTCGACCTCACTGCTCATGCCAACACTACTCAGTCCATCTCTCCAGAAATATCGGATATCTCGCATCGTGTAACCGACTTCATGTTGTTGTTGTTGATTGTTGATAGTTCGAACGTTGTTGTTGAAGTTGGAGTAGTAGTAGTTGTTGGATTTGATGTTGCAAAAAGGGGGGCAGTAGTTAATTAATTGATGTTATTTGTTTTGTTTTGTTCTGTTTTGGGTGTTTTTGGATTTAGCTTGATCGGGGACTTTTCGCACACAGAATACTTAACTGAAGCACTCGGAATAAATAATACAGACTTAAGAGCTAGGGTTCTGTTTAATATAGAGTCTTTGTGTTTCTGTAAGGCAAGTAGGGATGTATATCGGAAAGAAAAAACCGATATGATGTCGAAAATATTGTATTGCAATTAATATTGATATACGATTTTCAGATTTAGAATTAAATGAAAATATAATATTGATTTGTATGCATACAAGAATTTAAAATTTTAAACATTTCAGTTACAAATTCTACATTAATTGAGTGCCCAAAAAATCAGGTATTATATCGATATACATATCGAATTTGGTGATTTCTTAAGCCATTCCTAGTGGCGAGTTGTGACACAGAATATCAGGGACATAAATGATATGCATACTGAACGTATGTACAATATAGTTAGATCTTAAGCAAAAGCGTGCTGTGTATGGGGACTGACTTACATTAAGGCATAATACTAGACTTAGGCTAACAGGGGCGTGAGGGGCAAAGTCAAAGGTTACGCATATTCATAAGATCTGGTGGCAGATCATCAATCAGTATTCAGGGTGTGTGTGGAGCCTTCTGCGGTTGCTGAAATTGAGAAGGCGACCGAAAACCAACCAATCTTCTTCATGAATTCAGCGCCATGATATCGTGAACTGTTTGTTGATCGTGAATATATAGGTACTGATAACTGGTTGATTGCTGTTGGGTAATACATTCGGGTTGATTCTGATAAAAATGCACATGAACTGGGTTTACATCTCAGTGACTCTTTATTTGGTTGAACTTTTTTTTGTGGGTTCAAAAAACAAATATATAAATGACCGAGGGTGGAGGGGGGGCGGGGGACTGGAACTAGTTGAATGAGAGTTGGTTGTGGTTTCATTTGATTTTGGTTATTGGTTGGGCGAAGGGACAATTTTGGTTGAACAAAATATGCACAACGAACTGAAAACAGACATATTTCAAATAAAAATCAAATCTGCCGAGAGAGCTAAGCCCGAATTAATTCCTATGACCGCAAAGGAAACCTGAAATTAAATTCTTTACCACCTATAAGCTCTGCCTAAAGACAATTCAATTGTATTCAATTCGATTTCCTGCCCTCCATTTGTTGCAACATAATTGCTCTGTTCACAATTGACATCAAAGGCGTCTTAATTGCTTTTCCTCAATCGAATCGGGGTTGTGTGTTAGGGTTGTGTGTGTCTCTGTATCTGTATCTGTGGCACTTAAAATTTACTTGCTTGCATTTTAATTGTTTTCGGTTTGGTTTCTTTCACATAAACTTGTTTTCTAATCGATTTTCTGCCCACACCGAACAAACAGCGCACGGCCTTTGCTTGAGAGTTGATCTAAGCTGAATTGAGTTCGGCTTTCTGGAGTGGCCAAAACGGAGTGCAGACGGTGGCTGAAAGGTGCAAGGCTATTTGGCTGAGAAATGGTAGAGAGGCAAAGCAATTGACAGCACTGGAAAATGATTATTTTAGGGCCAAAAACACCCTATTTTGGCCACTCCCCAGCCGACATTCTGAATGAGTTGTTGTTGTTCACACATTTTGCTTTGTTCACATGGTTTCTTTCATCGTTTTCTTCTTCATTTCGTTTTTGACAATTTTCATTATGGCTATTATTATGATTATTGTTCCTTCCTTGTAATTATCATTACTTGGCTAGAAATATGTGGCAATTCAGATCAAAGTACTTACAGCTTTCGATTTCAATGTGGCACAGCTGGCGATCCATTGGGAAATATTGTAGATTCATCGGACACGATGCGGTGATAGTCAATCTAAAAGGGTTAAATCACATTTTTTCGGTTTGGGAAAGAGAGAATATTCGATTAGTAAGTGGTTCATTGGTATCCAGGTGAACATCAACAAACAAACGAGCAGAGGGTTCAAAAAATGGCAATCTATTAAGTTATTTACACACAACATTTACGGGGGGGTTTTGTTCTTGGGTTCTTGGGGGCATATCAAGTCATTACATACAGAGCGAGTTCAATTGGATATGAGCTATATTCGATATATATAATTTTGCTGCTTTGTTTTTGGTAAGTGAGAGATACTTTGAGTGGCAGTTTAGTTGTAGATAGTGAGGCGATATTGGCTCTTACGCAGGGTATATATGGTAGGCTTTGGCTTACTTAATAGTTCGTTGAATTAATTGCGGCTTGGGGCTACGAAAAATAAACGCTAATCATACTTATTTGCTTGCTTTTAGCTACGGCTGTTGCTTGTTCATTCATTAGGTGGCACCTGGGGTTTCGTTGTTGTTATTATTGCGATTTTGGACAGATTCTTGTTTAAAGGTAGTAGAAAATAGAGCGCCCAGTACCCAAACCTTTTTGCGGTGTCAGATACACGATAGTCATGCGATAACCGGAATGCGATGGATTCTCGATAAGCGATTAACGATTAGCGATTAACGATAGTCGATTACTGATTGCTGATTCTTGTGGTTTGTTGTGAGGGATATAGATATATGCGTTTGTATTTATTCATGAGCCACTCAGTTGGGGATGTGAGGGACAGAACACTTCCATCCTAGCGATGGTATGGAATGAGTCATGGTTTCACCAGCCAATCAAGTGAACATATACATATAATGCGTTTGGGTAAACATTTAGAATATCTTTACGCGGATATTGTTTTCAAGAAATAACCAATCTAGTGAAAATTATAACGCAAAATTATTTTTTATTCTGTGCAATCAATATCGCGGAAAGTGCAGACGGTCTCTTGCTTTTGTAATCGATAAATTCGATAGCAGCGATAGTAAATTTTCTTCTCTAACCGATGACTTTCATGAGGTTTTCAAATACTTTACGGTTTTCAAAGACAATCGCTCGAAATTTGCCAACTTTCTTTCACTTTCACTTGCCAATTGAACTCACTTGATTAGTTTTAATCGCTTGGAAGAAAACTTTTGTTTCGTTCTGTAGAAATTTTCCATTTTCATTTTAGAGTTAGTAAATTACAACATCGATTTATACACACACAGAAAAAAAGTTAGTTGCAAAAAGGGTCAAAAATGATAATTTTTGTAACGAAATCTTTAGAAGGTAGAGTAGAATGTTGGAAGTATTTGCTGTTTAATTTTTTTTTGTTTTTGGTTGAAGGTTTTTGGTTTAAGGTTTTAGGTTGTTTCTTTTGGGTTTGTTTTTGGTTTTGATTGTATTAGGGTTAGTTTGTAAAATAGTTAAATACACATACACATATACAGACAATTAAAAATGTTTATTTTTGCGCTTTCATTGAGAGCTTAGAGTTTGGGAGTTGCAGTAGTTGAGTTGGTTTTTACCTAATACTTCTTGTTATCGATCCAGAATGATGCACACGTATGAATTCATTACTGGTTGTTGCAATGTGAAAATATGATTGTTTTTCATTTACAAAAAAGGTGTCAGGTACCCAAATATTCTTAATGAACTCTGATCCAACCGATAGTGTTTCTACACCAGGTCGTTTTCTATACGCTAAACGAGGATCGGTCCAAAATTGACGAAAGTAAAAATCCAATGTGAAGTCCTATTTAATTCACAATTCGATTCGATATCGATTTCGATTTCGGTAAAGAGGGGGAAAGGTAGCAAAAAGAGATTGAGAGGTTATATCATATTAGTAAAAGTTGGCAGTGATCACTTATAGTTCTAGGTAAACTAAACGGCTATTAACTAAAAGTATTGTGTGTTTTCATTTATTTTGATCAACTAAAAAAAATTCATAGATAGGATAGATTGGGTAGAGAAAATTCGTGGAAACTAGGCGGAAAGTTGTTCTTATTATTGTTTTTTTTGGCACAACAGATACACTTAACGAACATACAAGGAAAAGAACTTGCGGCAAATGGAAACCAAGGAAAATTCATAACGTGCAACAATTTTCTTTAATAATTTTTTTTTTTTGTACAGGACGACAAAGGGATATAGGGCATGCATAACATCGAATTGAAACTTTTTACAGCTTGTCTTCGTGGGGGACGGACTAGGGGTGGGACGGTAATGAGATCCTCAAAAGTCATAATAAAGGAGGAAAGGAAAAGTACCGAAAGAAACAAATGAAATTAAAGCTTATTTACAGTAGCAATTGGAGGTGGGGGGTTATGGGGATCGTAGGGGTAAGCATATAAGTAGTACGGAAACCTCTCACAAATATTCGTATGGATTCGTTGCTGTGATTGTGAAGTAGCTTGGCTTTTCTGGCTACTAAAAGGGGGCTTGGGTTATTACTAGACTACTATGGCATCTATGGCAACAGGCTGGCAGGTAGTTATTGGTACGCTTTATACAGTATATCGTTGGCTCTTTTTACTTTGTTTGTGCCTCGAAGCTAAGCGTTCTGGGATTGGTTTAGTTTGGAACCGGATTCGATTGGGGGTTTGGTTTGGATTTGAATTGTAAAACGACAAACAATTTGGCTGTGTTTCAGGCTCTGTTTGCTTGTATCTGGTTCTGTGTGTTTGTGGGTGGGTCGGTGGGTGGTGTGTGTGTGTGTGGCTGTGGCTGAGTATGGGTATTGTTTCTCGGGGTCGGGGGGCGGATAAAGACAACTACTCGAGTTGTTGTTTCTCTCAGTCTTGCATATCATTATCTTCAAGCGCGTCACGTGGCCGACAAGGAACCAAAAATTAAACGGAAAAGCATGTTAAGGTAAATGTAAATGTAAATGTTAAAGGTAAATGCAAATGCAAATGTAATAATAATAGTAGTTGTAGCTGTAGCTGTTGTAGCAGGTAATAACATTTGTAAGTAGTTATAAATATTTATAGAGAGGAGCGCACACTGCTTGCTTTTTGGGTACTTTTGCCGAGTACTTTAATGCACGCTGATGTGCCTACATGGCGTATACGTATTTTCTATATGGCTACGTGTATTATTTATGCTGCGAAAATTGCACACGGCTCTCGTGGGTTGCTTGTAATTTGTTTGTTTCCTTGGCGTTACTCGCTTTTTATATATTCGGGAATTTAATATGTAATATAGTTTTTGCAACTAGCAGATTTGGTTTCCACTCGGTTCTTGGCACGCCCAAAACAAAAAACTCAAACACAAGAATGTTAACGAGAACGAAACTCAAAACTCAAGCGCAATTGAAAACGGAAATTAAATTTCGTGTGGATTATGCAATTTTCATAACTCTGTTGGCGTTTCTCTGGTGGGGCGTTTTTTCTCTATTTGTTGCAAAAAAGGGTTCTGTTTGGAAGGGCGGGGGGTCAACCTGGATTTCTATTCTTATTTTTATATTCTTGGCACACACACAAAATCAACTCTAAATACGGATACTTATGTGCATGGCGGTTTATATATAGATGGTTCACAATTAAACCCCAAACGTGAGGGGGTCTATCGAGTTGTTTGTATTATTTTTATATATCTCGTTATACCATTTACAATTTACATACATATATATATATATATATATATATCTGTTTGTGTGTGTGTGACTGTGACGGGTGTGTGTGTGTTGTGTGTATTTGCTCCTTGTTACAGTATTCCTTTTTTTTCTTTCTGCTGGTATTTGGATGTAACCTCATGTCATGTTGATTTTAACTGCCTCTCTGCTCGCCTGAATTTGGATTGGATTGGATGGGTTGTCTTATGTAAATTTGTCATTGTGTACACTGAGAGAAAAGTCCTAGACCCAGGAATTCTTTATTTAAGAAAGTGCTTGGAAAAACTCCTAAATCATGGTCAAAAAGTAGCCTTGGTATATCTATAATTATTTAATTTTAATTTCAGAATATTAAGAAACACCTTGCTTCCTAAGTCCAGAATTTTTCTCAGTGTTTCTGTTTCTGTATCAGTGTCTTTATGTGTGTGTGTGTACGCGGGCTGTTGTTCTTGTTTCGGTTTGGCATTGGCTCAGTTTATTTTTGAATTATTTTCATTAGCAGCGTAGCAATTCTGTTTTGTTGCCGGGACCCAAAATGTGGAAATGAAAAATTGTCATGTGAGGAGAAATGATCGGGCTGAAAATGAACATGTTATTGTTGTTATTCTTGGCGTGGTTCTTGCTGTTGTTATCCTTGTTAATGTGTTTTCTTTAGTGGATTGTATATAGTAGTGGCAGTGGCAGTGGCAGTGTGTTCGTGTTTACGTTCGTGTTGGGCATGTTATTTTCGCATAAATTGATTGCCAAAGCCAAAACGGTGCAGGTGTTGGTTCATTTATGTCATACGAACATTTCCTTAAGGTAAAATTGTGGCATTTTCAGAGCTGCGAGACCATAGAAATATTTGAAGTTTTCAAACCTCTAAAAAGTGTGTCTAAAAGTATGCCACATGTTTGTGCATTGTGAAGGAGCCAAAGTACAAAAGTGTACTAAGTAGCATACCATTGGGCACATTTTTAGGAGACATTAAAATACCATTTATTTCCACAGTGCCTCTGAAACGTTGCAGCAGGAGTGCAGCAAAATCAGTGTATTAATATGTGTTGTAATGAGTTCCTCTTAGGTGCGATCTTGCAACTTTCTCAACGAATTATTTGGAGTATCTTTGAATTTTCGTGTATGCCAATTGAGTTGAATTACTTGAATATTGCAGATTCTCTCTTTTTGTCACACTCATTTCAATTTAAGAATTATATGATGGTAAGTCAAAAAAGGTAGGTAGAGTTCCAGTGATGGAAAGATCAATGACAGAGTTTAAACCAAAACAAATGAGTGTCTTCTGAGTCCTAGAATTTGGAAATTATTTACCCCACAGGTTGTTTCAATCGCATATACTTTAGTTTTAATTGAAAATAATTTGAAAAGCTGTTTGAAATACTTGAAAAAACACTAAACCAATAAGAACGTGCGACGTACACAAAAAAAAAAATTGATAATTTCATAAAATTGTATAGTAAATTTTTATAAAATAATTTGGAAATCCAATATTATTTATTAGAATATGAAATTGAGGCTTTTAAAGTATAGTTTTTTGGCCATTCCCCGCTAAAGAAAATATAGAAAAAAAGTATACACAGAAACAGGCATAAATGAGTAGTAGTTGTCCCTTGTAACATGTTTGTATGTCAAGTCCATATATCGTTTGACGAACACATCGACACCGAGCTTGATTATATGCTATATATATGCTGTGTGGATATTGATATTCATTCATATTCATCTTGTTTTAACAAATACGCATGCGCGCAGCCTCTGTCAATGGGACTGCTGTGAATAATTCGAATTTAGTACTTTTGCATTTGACCAGATCACAACAAACAGAATGACGGTTATATGAGATTATAGATATATAGTGGATATATGAATATGGCATAAATATCTCTCGTTTCTCTGGGGTGGGGTGGGGGCCCAACATTGTGTCAGTGTATATGTTGGTGTGGCATGTACTCGATGAGGCGATAAATGAAGAATTGGACAGGGGATGTTATTGTGATGTTATCGATTAACAATCGACAGATAAGGCATTGAACAAGAATCTTTTTTATCAGGGAAATGTCGATAACGTTGACATAATATCGAAAATAATATCGATAGATTTGTCGTTACATTTGTCAACCCTAACTTAGTTCGATCTTTCTCGATATATCTGCTTTTCGTGAGAATCCTGAGATGGGTATGCAATAAAGGCAAAAAAAACAAAAGGAGCGAAATTAAATGAACGAATCGAAGTGGCATTTCAAAGCGACAGTTTAGAAACCGCAGATAGAGAGTGAGATAGACAGAGTGTGGTAGAAAGAGAGAGAGACTCGTCTCTAAGATAAACACCAAAATGTGTGGAATTTGGTTTCTGGTAATTTCGATGTAAATTTATAGATGGAGTACTTTGTATTTTTTTTCGGTTTGCATTGTTCTGGCTGAGAAGCATTGGATTTCACAATTTCAATAATGAAACAACAAACAATATGCGAACATCATGGCCTATTGATATTAACATTGAAACAATAAACACAAAACGAATATAGTATGCAACACGGGAATTTTATATTTGGCAATGAGGCAAGTCGACTGCATTGCAATAACAATTCGTTTCACACAACATTTAATTTGTAGAACTTTGTATATATTTATATTGGTATTTATGTATATAGATGTATTTATATACTGCATATATAATATTGTTTTTGGGTGGCTTGCAGTTTGCTTTCAATGTTCGAAACAATCAGAATCGTAAGTGAATCAAAGTAATCGTAATGAATTTGTATGTCTTCTTGCCGATGTTTGGGGAAATCAAAAGGGTTAACAAATATGCTAAGACACAAAATGATCTTTAAGCAACAGAGACAGACATAGAGAGAGAAACATATAGTGGGAGATAGACAGAGATATGTATTTATAGAGTTAGAGAGAGAGACAGAGAGAGAGAGAGAGATAGAGAGAGAGCGAGAGATAGTTACAGGTAAGAGGTAGAGAGACTGAGAGAAATTAAGAAGTATACGAGTAGATTTATGAATTTTTTTTGTTTGCTTTTACGGACAAAAATTAGGAACATTTGTTTGTATCTGTTGTTAATTGTAATTTAATTATTATTTTTTGTTTTGTAGTTTTTTTTTTTTTTAATATTTTTGTTGTTGTATTTGGTATATATTTTTACGTATGTACCATGAGAACTTCCGAAACCGAACTGATACTGAGGACATACATTGTGACGCCAACCTCCACAGGGGGACCTGCAACATATACACACACACGGATTGATGGAATTTTCATTTTGCGTTTGGTATTGGTATTGGTATGGTTGTTGTTGTTGTTGTTGTTGTAGTTGTCGTTGTTTGGTAGTTGTTATTCTGTTGTTGTAGTGGCAGTGGATGTGTCTAAAACCCAAAATATATATATTAAATATACGAGAACGGAAACACACACACAGCGATACGGGGAACAATGGACGCAGTATGCGGAGTACGCAGGACATTCTGTTGACACTTTTCGCTGCCTACTTTCGAGCGCCCTTCCCTGGGCTCGACATCGACATCGACATCGTCGGGTGCTGTTTAATTTCCATTAGCAAAATTAAATATATAATGTACGGTTAACACTTAAACTGGCAAGCGGTGCTTTGCTGTTGCTCTGTATTTTAATTCTTTTGTATAATTGTTTTCTATTTTCTGTTGTTGTTGTTGTTTTTGTGGCTCTACTAAATTTGTGTTTGGAGGCTTTTGCTTCAGTTGATTGCACGCGCCGAATGAAAACCAAATCAGTAACTACTCTAGTTTGCTTTTTGTTGTATACATATATTTTAATTAGCTCAGCTATACGAAAGAGTTGCAGTTGCTAATAACAAATGCGCCTAGCAAATAAATATCTTTGGTAGCTAAATGTTAATTGAAGTGAATTAGCGGATTTCACACACCATTTATTCAGTTTGCATTATTTTGATTGAGAGATTGTTTTATATATATTATATGTTTTGTTTTTTGTTTTTTTTTGGGAATTGCGATTTGATATCTGGAAGCTTTGAATGAGTTATGTGGGCCTATAAAAAGAAGAAGACAAAACAATACGCATGAAGTGAGAGGCACGAGATTCGCTAGGTTTTAGTTTATGTTTTTGGTTTTCCGGAAGGATTGAAATGGTTGGTGTTTTCATTTATTTTTTATGTTGTTGGGACTGGCGTGTGTCTGTGTGAGTGTGTGTGTTTTTTTTTTGGGTAATTTCGATGTGCTTGGCCAATTAGACATACACAAACACACACAGAGGTAAAAGTGAACTGTAGTGAGCACAGAAGGAAGTCATTTCGTAGAGCTTAAGGAACATAAAAAGCTTTTGCCAATCGTTGGTTTCGATGGAGAGAGAGAGAGAGAGAGAGTAGGAGTTGACATTTAGTTTACAATGTGTTTACGATGCTGAAGAGGGGGAGAATTCGAGGTGGGGTATCGTAACATTTTGCCCTACTAATTCTGAATTCTGGCCTCTGGCCCCTCGTATCGAGTCAACGCAGCTCCTAACACACACAGGACCTTGACTCAAGTATTCATTTCGGAAATGAAATCAAATTCAACTGTGGAACAACAAAAAATAAAGGAAGGAAGGAACAACACACACTTAAACACAGCGGCTATAAAACGAACTAAACATTCGGAAGAGTTAGAGCTTGAAAGATTTAGTACCAAAGGATAACTGATAAGGAAACAATACGTTTGTGAGCGGAGGGAACGATATTATAGGGTGTGGATAAGATTCGCAAATAACACTTTCAACTGGTGTACTTTGGTCAACGGTTAGAAATAATACAGATCGGTCTATCTAGGGATAAGTGGGGGAAGTGTTTGCAGATCAGGAGAGAGATAGAGATCGTACAAAGCAACACGGGAAATGAGAAAATCAGGAAATCAAGACTTGTGAGTGTGTAAGTGGTGGAGAGCAACAAACTAATGCGTTTAGTGGTACGGAAAACAAAAACTCTTAAATGAAAATATAACTCCAACAACAAAGACCAAAGACAGAGAGATAGAGTTAGGAGTTAGATAGTTAAGATAATTAGAGATAGAATGCGAGAGAGCGCTTATACGGTAATAGAAAGGTACAAAGTTCAATTAGTTTGTACCATTTTCACTTCTGAGAGCGAGCTGATCGATAGCACATACATGGTGACTCCGACTTCGACAGGAGGTCCTGCAAACACGTATGTTTTAGTAGGTGTTACATAGCTGGTTTATGTGTGGATAAAGGTTAGAGTCTTAATGTTTGTTTCTTATAATGCCCGCTGCGCCTCAACCGCCCTACATGGTTCGCTTCGATATCCCTCGATATATCGCATACAAATATCTTGTAATTTTTCAACGGGCTGTGCCCCCATTTGCGTTTCGTTCAGGTCGCGTTGCGTTTTTGGGTAAGTGTGACTGGGAATAGCTACCATATATATGTATATATAGGGATGGGTGTCCAGAGATTGGTCTACTTACCACCGTAATTGGGTCTTACTCTTTTGTCGTAACTAACACTAAAGGAGTCGAGTATAGCGGATATGTTTACGTCACCCAGCATGCTGCCACCGCCAGTTCTGTGGAGAGAAGGAGTGAGAAGGAATCGAGGTTTCATTTCATTAGTGCGTCCCTTTGTTTTCCGATTTAACAATAAACAATGTAAGCCATTTGTCAGGCCGCGTAAATGGAGTGTAAAACTATAACGGATGCACGGATGTTCGCATCGTAACTCTTTTGCAATGAAAAGGGGGTTCGTTCCTCCCTTTCAGTATTTGTTTAATAATTATCTTGGTTATCGATTGATACTGATTCTGTTTAAGATATTTGTGTTTTCAAGCAACCTCATTAATCAGATTGAAGAGTTTATATATATATTTAAAAAAATTATTAGGTTCTGTTGGAAAATGTTATTATTAATAAAATAATAATAATAATTTAAAATAATATTAAATATATCGATAAGTTCTCCCGACCTATCGATGCATTTTGAATTGATTTTTCGATTGACGAAATCCCAGATTTTCTCAATAAAATTAAAAACTAAAATTTAAATTTTTTATATAAGATTTATCGATGAGTTCTCTACAATTTATCGATCATTTACCTAATACTATTTGCATTATCTGCTTTAAGAAATAATGCGGAATATATTCATGGAATATTAACAAAGCCTGGAAAAATATATAGATAAATGTAGGATACTGCAAAATTGATTATTTATCGATAATTTTCCGAGATATGTTTAAAATAATTCTTTCAATTTTCTTTTCTTTCTTTTCTGTGAATAAATTTCTATTGTTTTTAAAATTTAAAAACTATTTATATAAAATATATTTAGATAGGGAGGTTCCCCTGTACTGCGTGGCACAGACTATTTGTTGCTGTGCATCACTTCCATACGGCACGGCGTTTACGGTGTGTGTGTGTTTGCTGTGTGCGAGGCAGGGACTTTCAGCGCTTCCTGGAAAACCAACTCAACTGACAGTCGACACAGACATTGCGCTGGGCGGCCTGTCGGTCGGTCGTACGGTCGGTCGTTGCAGGTTAAGTGCTCATATGGCACCGTGTCTGTGTGTGCTACTTTCGCTTTATGCGGCATCAAGTGCGCCCCCGACACGAGCGTTTGTATGTAATATTTATTGCATGTGCCTGGCAATGAAGGCAGGCACAGACATACACATACATTCGCCCGTGGCCCGTGGCCCGTTGCCAGTCGCCAGGCACTTCAATGCCTGTTTATTTGCGTCTATTCTACGCTAAACTGTGCTATTAAAGCGCGTTTGTTGTTATTCCAACTCTGCGAAAGCCATTGGATACACAGCGCTCGGCGCAGGACTCAGGAGGTCTCGGGAAACAGGACTCAGGACACAGGACTCGGTACTCGGGCGGTGTGTGTGCGTGCTGTGCTGTGCTGGTGAGCAAAATCACAATTTAATAAAAGTTGCGCCTGCAAATAAACAGAAATCCCGACTTTGTCTCTTGGCGTGCGCCTGCGCGTTTTCCGGCAATGAGTGTCTCTTCCTTTGCCTTTTTTTTTTGCTTTTTGGCTGGCATGTGTCCTGTTTGCCTTTCATTTGTATCGGGGATATATTTATGTGCGCGGGTTTCAGTTCTTTTCTTTATTATTTTTTTTTTGCCCAATTTGCACATTCGCAAGTCAATTGTTGTGGCTGATTTGCTGATTTGATGCGATTTTAATTTTGCAACTCACAAAAGTCGGCCATCATTTTTGTAATCAAGCCTGGGCGTGCCGCAGCCCACTCTGCACACACACACACTCTCTCTCCGCTCTCCCCCGATTCTGCTCTCAGCGGCTTCGCTTGAGCTTTAACCCAAGTCGATTGCGGGCCATTGTGTATACGCAGCGTGGGCATCAAAGCGAAAGCCGACGGCAGAAGCGGCAGAACTGGCAGCCTATTTATAAGTGTGTATGAAAATACCGCCGCATAGAGTGCGGTTTTATTTTTTGGGCCCTCTTGTCTGATGTTGATAATGAAAAAGTTTTGATTGCTATTTGATTTGAGTTTTTGATTGGGTGTGTGTACAATGCTGCGTATGCGCAATATTCATTTTTACGGGCTAGTAGCTACGGGCTACCGGCTACGGTCCACAGTTACGGCTTCCCAACACTTTCCGCTCTAGCCATTAAAGTTTAATTTATGCCCTGCTGCTACTTTTGCTGGCAGGTGCTGTCAATAAGTTTTTGACAGCCTGCAATAAAAATTACTTGAAGGACACGCCAAAAACTTTGCGATTGCCGCTCCGCTTCGCTTTTGGCCGCTTATGCCGCTCATGGCGCTCATGCCGTTCCCAAGGCGTAACGTGGCGTATACGTAATATGCAAATGTGCCTCTGCCTCAGCCAGGGGCTAAGTGAAACTAATATTATGCCCGACGTATTGTCAAATAATTTATGCAGCCCTACACTCACACACATGTGTATATATACTAACACACATGTGCTTGTCGTTAAGTGCACTAGAAAATGTCAATAGGTCGTACTTGAGGCGTCAAATATTTGCCTATTGATCGAGGGCAGCTAAAGAGCAAGAAAAAGTTAAGACTGGGACTGCCTTTAGGCCTAAACTGCTTTATATATAAATAATAGATATTAATAAAAAGACGAAAGTGTGTACAGACTTTTCTTTGATATATCTTCTCATTAAATATTAAATAATGTAATCCCTTTTAATAGTGTAACACTGAAGGAGTTCATTATTTTATTATCTATTCGTAATATTATTTTATTAATATGAACTATAATAAATCGTAAACTTTTTGTACCTCTGGAATGCTAAATATTTAGTACAAATATAGAGGTAAAAGCAATAAGAAAATGTTCTTTATTTGTTTAATAATTTATAAATGGAAGCCTCATAAATATAGTTTTTTTATTAAATTTTAAATTGTAACCGTTTATTATCATAATGCAATTCGTTAAAGACCTTCAAGATACTCTACAGATTTACAGATTATACCCAGAACGATTTCTGAAATTTCTAAAAATATTTGTAAACTAAATCAAGGCTCTTGTTATTACTTCAAAATTCACCTAAAGGAAAACGATTCGAACCTCTAGACTCTTCGTTCTTAAAAAACCTTCTAGTACCCAGAAAATAGCTTCAATATTATTTTTAATTAACCCAATAAGGTGTATATTTTTGCCCCGTGTAAGTATACATTTGTGCAGCTTGCAATTAGCTGCTTGCACGTAAGTAGGTAACAATTTTCGTTGTTCCTGCGCTCTCAGGACTCAAACAACGAAGGCGACTGCCATAAAGGAGCAACAACTAAGGCGCTGGCAGCTGCGGCAGGAGCTGGAAAAAAGGTCCTGAAGCAGAAGCAGGAGAAGCAAACTGAACCAAAAAACCAGAACCGTAACTGTAACAAAACCAAAATGCAAAGTCATGCGCACGACAGCCAAGCCCAAAACGTGTCGCCTCAAGTGCCACGCCATCTTATCGCTGCCCACAGTTTGTTGCCTTATCTTGAGGCACTGCACGTTTGTTGTGCGTGGTATATATATGTGTGTGTGTGTGTGGCTGGGTGGGTGTGGCTGGTTGGCTGACTGGCTGGTCAGTGTGCCAGTGCCACGGCGAGAGCAGTGGCTGTAAGAAATATTGTCGTTATTGTTTGTTGTCGTTCTCGCTGTCGCTGTCGTTTTTAGTGGCACTTTGAGTGCCAGCCATTACGTATACGCTGCGTTGGACACGCGCCATTGCATAAATTCAAGTGAAACGTTAAAACAAAGCGGAAATGCGAAAACTACTAGCAAATATTATCTTTCTTTTAGCGTTTTCGTATTCTTTGTCTTCATCTCCGCCGCTGTCGCTGTCTCCGTTTCCTCCTTTTGGAAAGTCTTGGCAAACGCCAACGCAGAGATAAGCAAAAGTTGGTTTAGGCCTTTCTCCTGCGCAGTAAAACACTGGCTCTGTGGGTGGCCCAGCCTCCTATTTTTCGTTTTTCCTTCTATTTTTTTTTTTTATCTCCGGGCCGAGTGTGAGTAAGCGTTTTTTAATAAAGTGATAACTTGATGCCTGACAGCCGCCTGACAGTCGCTAAAAATAAACACATCCGCTTAATAAGCCAGCAGCTAGCAGCTCCCGGGATACACAGGAAAGCCGCTTGGACATGGAAACATTAACTATTATGAGCTAGCCGAGCGAGAAGTTGGGCAAGCTGAGCCACGCCCCAGTTTATGGACTTGTTAAAGCCAATTTCAGGCGGACTGGGAATAGAATATAAATGTCACCGCAAGGGAATATATCCTGGTTTTATAAAGCCAGGAAAAGATACCAAAAATAGTGCAAAAGTTGGATAGTAAAAGCATTAGGAAACATAAAATATTTTTAATATTTTTAAAGATGTTTAAAAACTATTCTAGAGAAAAGTTTACCATTAGCTGTCTTTCTCCGGGAATTTATAAGAGAATCGTAAGCTTTTTAGAAGAAGTTTCCATTGGAAATCTATCTTAGTTTAGGTTTCCCCTTGGACTTTCTTTTAGATTTATCTTGGGAATCGTTTGGCCTTTTGATTAAATTAAGCTCAATCTCATTCCGGTTTCGAACTTATGCACCGGCTGAGCGAACGGGTTCGAGGTAAATGCATAAAAAATTGAATTGCATTGGCAAGTCCTTGACATTTTGCAAAAATGAACAGCGGACTGGCAGGCAGGCGAGAGATTGCTTAGGCGCGGATATCTCTCGCCTCCAGGCGGGCCAATAAAAATAGTTTCCCCGCTCGAATTGTATTTTCCGGGGCAAATGTGAAAAAAATTAGACTTGCCTTGTCCGGGGCTTTATTAAATATTTGAAAAGCAGATGGAATGGCGATTGCCAAATGGCAACGGCAAAGGGCAAAAGCAACGGCGACGGCAACGGCTGGAAAAACACAAGGAGGCTGACTGGCTGGCTGGCTGCCTGCCTGCCTGCCGTTTGTAGATATTTTCAATCATACTCAAAATGTGAAGGAACAACAATTTACGCTCAATGACACTCGACGGCGAGCTGTTGACGCTGCCTGGCCCTAGTGATGCAGCTACCCAGACACACACACACACGTACAGGCCGCAGGACGAACGAACTGACACGGACGAGCGGGAATAGTGAGGCCGAACGACAGGCACACATGAAGAAAAATAAAGATCTTATATCGAGGCAATATATCTTGGAAGTTTGTCTTGTCTTTCTTATTTTGTCTGATTGGGAAGGGTTTTGATGTGATTATTATCGATAAGGTTTCAATTGCCTATAATCGATTTATTGATATTTATTTAATAAGTTAAGTTAAATTTATATATACGCTTTAAAAGGTTTGAAAAAACAAGTATATTTGATATTTATGTTTGTGGTTACAAGTTGTATACCTTAGAAATCTTTTAAAATAAATAAATCGATTCTATCGATAATATAAGATAGAGTAAATCGATATCCGCTCTAGTAAATTAGATATTAAATCTGATTGAAGACGAAATGGCCAAGTTTTGTAAGATTTATTTTACAATCCCTTTAGAATCAAGGCAAAGAATTTCCTTAGAAAACTTTGTTCAAACTTTCTTGAGTGTCGTCATTTTTTTCTCTGTAAAATCTCCTTGTTGGACGCGAACCCGGGCGGTCTTTGCTTTTGTCGCTGCCACTTTGGCATTATCTGCTATCAATAAATTCCCAGTGAAGTGGGCACTTGTGTGGCAAGTGGAGCACAACGGGACGCCCAGCAGGGGTCGATGTTGGGGCGTGGCAGGAGCAGGAGCCGGAGCAAGCCCAGCAGGCCCAGCAGGCCCAGCAGCCCTTGCCGCACAGGAAGTGGCAGCGTGTAAAGTGAGCAAACTATGTCGCTCTGGCCTTTAACCTTTTTCCAGAGAACTGGAGCCGGAGGAGGAGGAGGAGCTGCCTGACGGTGGTGGGGAAATGTGAATGGGATTGGGGCTAGGGCCCTGGGACTTTGACTCGGCAAGGCTGTCATTTTGTGTTGCATACTTTGTGGCGGCGCCTGTGCAATGTTGCATGAAAAAGTAGCGTAAACTTTGCTCCGGCTTTGCCTTTTGGCCCAAATAAAAGGCACAGCTGCGTCTGTGTGCGCTGCCTTGGAGCCGGAGTCGCTTGACTTTTGCCACGACATTTTCGATTTTGGACTTCTTGTTACGCTATATACATATATACTATAATATAGCATAAGCCGTGCTCCGGCAACCGTAAGCCACATCATGCCACGTCGCGTGTATCTCCGTGTCCTCGTCTGCGTTCCCAGCACGCGATCTTGTAATCCCATAAACGTGCATTTGTAGCTCGAGTAGCTCCCGATGTCGTTGTCGCATTCGGACTAGGAATCGGCTTCAGATTCAGTATAGGAATAAAAATCGGAGTCGTGGTCGTACTCGGTGTCGGATTCTCGTTGCCCCCCGTATTTGATTTGCCTAATTTGCCAGGTTGCCATGTTATGCAAATGTTTGTGGCTCTCTGTGTAGCGCCTAAATATTTACTAATGAGCGCTAACCCAAAAAAAAGTGGAAAGAAAAAGCACAGTAACAACAGTAACAGCGGCAGTCCTGGCTCTGCATAATTTGTGTGATTAAGTTGACAGAACGCCACAGTAGCTGACAACTAATGCCACAATTGCGGCAATTTCTTTGCGTTGTCCGAATGTGTTGTCCGCGGTTGCGGTTTCCCGGGCTGCCCCGGGGGCTGGATGGTGGCTCCCCAGGGTAATGGCGGGCGTATTGGTTTAACGGCTGGCGCGTTGGCGCTGACAGCTGACAACTGTCAATTCGAGCAAGGACTCTCTCTTGGCACACACACGGGGTTTCCAAAAGCAAACATAAACATCGCCATCGTCATCGCCACGCCGACGACGACGACGACGGGTGAGTAATTACAAAGACCATCGAGTGGCAGTTGTCATTTTTCAGTCAGTCGCCGTCGGTCGGCAGCCAGTGGCTGCCATTTTAATGACTGCCACATGCAAATGCGACAATGACGATGTAGATATGGCCTAATAAATGGCCTGCACTTACTCAAACTGTCCGCCAGTCGGGCAACATTTATTCACTGCCGCACAGGTCAAGCAGGCTGTCATTCAGCCTAATTAGCGACCGGGCGACCCAGTGAGCCACCGAAAAACTTTTGAGCGCATTTTGCAGCAAAATGATTTGAATAATCATAAATTACCATGAATTATGGCCGCCAAACACAACAAAAACAGGTATAGCACGCACCTGTCGCCCATGGGGGCTGGGCTGGTCTGGTCTGGTCACTGCAGCAAAGTGTCAGGACGAAAACAAATTTATTGTTATAATAACTGGCCAACTGTAGTTGTAGCTTTTCCTCGTTTTTTTTTCCCCGAAAGTTTCCGAAAGTTCGAAGGGGTGGTTACATGTGGGCCTGGGCTTCATGCTAACCATTATTTGGCCATAATTTAATGCGAATTAGAGGCCAGCTCGGCCCACTATGATGTTATTAGCCTAATTGATAGTTGTAAATGTCACTAATTGAGTAAATGCCCATTGAATGGCCACCATGATGAGCTTGCATAATTATAGAGTGTGTGATACAGTGTGTTATAGACTGAATGGCAGTGTACTTGGCTGGGATATAATCTATTGCCCAATGATATGCATAAGATACCGCTCTCTCTTGCATCAGAAAAGCATCTTTGATTGATTGCGGGGCCAACAGTCAGCCTTCCATCAGATTATTTTATCATTAATTGGGGTAATATTTTCTGTTATTAAAGGTTGTTTTTCGAACACATTTTGAACTGTTCAAATGGGTTAATAGAAGCTATAGAAATTTATGACAATTTAATAAAATAAATTCGATAAATCACAGATAATTAATGCTCTACGAAAAATAATATAAAAACCTGCAGGATTATGTTTAGTTTAACTAATTATGGCTTTAGTAAAACCTTTAAAAAATAATAGCAGCTCTGCAGTATCATAATTTCCTAAGCTACTTGATTTTCCCACCAAACCAGATTCTTTTTTAAAAAGTTTTCAGCTTGTAAATCTAATAATAAAAATTTAAAAATAAATACTTACGCCGCCTGCACTGTGTGGATCCTTTTCTGGCCCGTCTCCTGGGCGATCAGGGCCATGTTGATGGCCAGCCAGATGGTCAGCAGCGGGGTACGGGGCAGGTTCGCCATCCTGGCCAACTTGTCTTGCATTCTTGAATCACTCATGGTGGTGCTGTGTTTGTGTTTGTGTGTGTCCTTGGTGTTGGAAGTTAAAGTTGAAGTTGAAATTTGAGGAGGGTGCGAGAGTTGCTTATTTAAAATGGCTGTCGTGGCTTTTCGTAGTTTTGCATTAAAAATTTGAAGTTTTCGTTTGTTTAGTTGGTTTTTCTTTAGGTTTTTTGTTTTCTTTTTTGTGTTTTGTTATATATTTTTTTTTAAGTTGCGTATAAAGTAAGTTGTAGTTTTGTTGTTCTTGTTGTTGCTGTTATTAGTCAAGGTTGCTCCTTTAGTTTGTTAGTTAGCTAGCTGGTTTCCCCTACGCGGCTACTCGGGCTTCTAGTCAGGGCTCTTCTTCTCCGTACTTCTCCGCTTGTTGAAGTCTCTCAGTCAGTGAGTTAGTTGGTTGTTTAGGCAGCGAGGCATTCAGTCAGTACTTCAGTGCATGTGTATGGGTGAGTGGGTGCTTCTTAGAGTGTGGTTCCCTTTGTAATTCCGATTCCGATTGCGATTCCTTAACCTCCCTTCGTACACTCCCTCCCTGTCAGTGGCAGTCTCCAGTCGTCGTCGTCGTCGCCGCCCGTCGATCTCGGGCCAGTGGCAGATCCTGATGCGCTTCCTCTTTTGCTCCCTTGCTCCTCCAGCGGCATTAATTGCTGCTGCTGCTCTCTGCCCGTAATCAGGTTACTTCCTGTCGCTTTTAGGGACTTTTTTCGGTTTCCTCTTGCCTCCTTTATTTACTTTTAATTACTTCTATCCTGACGAGATGTGTTGCCGTTGCTGATGAGTGCTGCTGCTGCTGTGTGTGTGTGTATGTTTGAGTGGGCGCTTTGCAAATTCCTTGAAATTGAGCCTTTCGTTGCCTTTCGTCCTGTGGGGAATCGCTGGTCGCTGGAGTGAGTCCGTGTGTGAGAGTGTGTCTGTATGAGAGTGTGTTGTGTTGTGTTTCAGTATGTTAGTCGAGCCCCAGCAGAGTGTACATCGTGATATCCCGCTACGAATCGCTCTGTTCTGCGCCGCTTCACCCGCTCACTCTGCCCGCTCTCTATGCGCTCATTAATAATTACAAAATATCCGCACTGTTCATGGCTGCCTCTGCCTGTGCTTTTTTGGGTTTTTTGGTTTCGGTTTTGGTTTTTGGTTTCTCCGATCCGGATACGGATTTTCTATTTTCGCCGAGTTCCGCCGTGGACTCAGTTTCGGTTTCAGTTGCAGCTCCCTATCTGAGTTTCTGAGTTCGTCATCCAATCGGACGCTCCATCTCATCGCTCGTTCAATATCGTTGTGGTCGATGTTGTTATCCTTTGAGTGCCTGCAACCTGCGCGATGTCTATGCTGCTGCTGCTGCTGCTGCTGCTGATGTTGATGGGGTTGGTGTTGCAGGCCACTGAGCTCATTTTATTGAATTCGATTGCTTGAGCTACGTCCTTTCGCCTTAACCTTTGGCATTGTTTGTTAAATAATGGTCACAGCGGCTGCTACGCTTCTCGGGGAACTATGGGACATATTTGCTAGATCTGAAAGTCTTATCTTAGTTCTTTGAGTTCAACACTGGAAGGTGATAAAAAAAGTAGGAGGAAATTGATTTATTAATTTGGAATTTTGAACTTGGTAATTGATTTCATTAATTTTAGAGTTATTATGTTTTTTTTTTTTGAATAATTTATAGCGTAATATCTGAGAAAAATTTATGTTTTTGGGTGTATTAATTTCTTTTAAGTGTTTTTATTTTTATTTTTTTTTGTCACAAATTTCATTTAAATTAGGATTTTGTAATGGTTACAAATTAAATTGAAAGTTAAAGATATTTATTAATTGGTTACAAATGTATTTGGAGTAGACTTCGATTTAAATTAGTCTTTTTGGAAATTATATAGAGATTTTTAGGTCTATTTAAGGTATTTGTTAGTCCAGAATAAGAATTTATGGTAGGTTTAGTTTTAAATTTATTATTTGAGTTATTATTATTTTTATTATAAAATAGTATAGTCTTTTTAGTTGTTCTGATGTTAATCTTCACTTTTTATTATGTTTCACAGTTTTGTTTTTAACATTGCGATTTGTGCATATAATTATTTTAGTGGTGTTTTTAATTGCACTTTCAATAAATTTATATATTGTTTTATTATTATTTGTCTTATTTAAGAGCTAATTTCAAACTTGGTTTTTTGCTTGCAGTCAAGTGCAAAAATACATGAATTAGGGCGCGTCGCTCGCGTTTTGCTTGAAAATTTCACGCTATTGCTAAAGAACATCCTCACACTCGCTCGCTCGCACTCGCACACACACACACACACTCAAACTAATTTATACACGCATACATGAACAGCAGTCAGTCACACACAGGACACACTCACATCCACACAGACGAGGCAGACACTTTTGTATAGATTTTGTCGAGTTGCCGTTTCTTGGGGAGTCCTTTTCTCTGGTTCTCCTGTACCGTTACCGTACCGTCTGTGGGTCTTGCCAGTCCCGTTTCGTCCGTTACATTTTCTCAGCTGAGCGTTTGAAAACCGTTTGGCAGGACAACGCGTTGGCTAGCAGTCAGTTGGCCAGCTAGGAGCCGAGGAGCAGAGCAGCCGAGCAGGCGAGCAGGAGAGCAGCCTATACAGCGGAGAGAGGCGCCAGTGAGAGAGGAAATGCGAGAGAGAGAGAGAGAGAGTCGGCCAAAAATAGCCCGAGCCTGAGCCCAAGCCCAAGCCCAAGAAAGTGTGCTACGTTTTCTGCAAAGAGCCAGAGAGCGGGAGAGCCATTTTCTCTCTCTCTCTCTTGCTACTCTGTGTCTGTGCCTGCTTCTGTGTAAGTGTGTGCTCTGTTCGTGTGCACCTTTTGTGTGCTCTGGTGTTGCCTTGTTGTTATCCTTTCTGGCTTTTTGCAGAAATGTCACCGTGCACTCTCAGCTTTGGCAACCCCGGCAGTTACACTCTGTTTAGCATAAACGCTTGCTACTTGGCTCCAAAGTCGTCCTGTTCCTTCCCCCCCCTCCTATCCTCACCCATAGCTATCCTCTAGCTGTGTGTGTCTGTGTATTGGTTTTTGTTTTTATAAATTTTTTCGCATGTGCTTTTTCCCTAAGCACATTTGATTTGTATGCCACTTTTTGTGCGGCTCTCGCTCCTTTAGGTTTTTGTCCTTTTGCTAAATTTCTCGCGCTTTCCTGCACATTCGCACATATCTCGTTAATTGGTAAGCATGCGTTTTCCTTCTCTGAATTTTCTTGTGCCTTTGCCGTGATTGCTTTTTGCGGTATGCCGAGGAAAAGAAAGGATTTGTCAAGGCAACAACAGGACAGGACGGGAGTGGGGCAGGAGTAGGGGCCTCGGGGCCCGCCGAGCATTGTTTCATTCAGCCCGTTCAACTTGACAAAGAAAAGCGAGAGCCGGTATGTAAATTCCATATGCATATGTGCGCTCCGCTTTTCCTCCCTTTCCACCATGTTTTCCCCGTGCATGTGTGTGTGTGCATATTTTATATTCAATGATAAGAGTTTGACATTAATTAAAATGGCAAGAGTTGCGTGTGTGCGCTCTCACATTCGACATTTTACATTTCACTTGCAGCAAGGGGATATTTATGCCGTGCCCCCGTCAATGTTTTTTGTGAAAACGGCTTTTGTTTGGCTTGCATAAATACTTTCACATTGTATATACGAAACGACGACAGTTATTAATGAGTTTTGGCCCCGACCCCGTTACCCTTTCGCTCCAGCTTTCTGCTACATATTTGATGGCCCACAACACGGGTCCTTTGCTTTTAAATATGCAGTCCCCAACTTGAACTTGCATACTTAATGCGCCTGGCAACTTTCTAATTACTTAATCCGACTTTACAGGCCCCCACGTATTCATGGGCAATCTGGTCCTGGCCCTGTCTCCTCCGGCCTTTCCCCAAAATCTGATTAAGTATCCGCCAACTAAATGGCTCAATAAATGTAAAATTTTGGCGTTCATCAGAAATGGAAATTATGGATCCTTGAGTGCTCCCAAAACTGTGTTCAGTTACTTATAAAACTAGAAACCAATTGAGAGGAAAGTGCACGCTAAAAAATATTGAATATCAATAGCTATGAATTGTAAGTAAAATAATTAAACTTAGCAAAACAAATAAGAAACCAAGCTTTTCTCGAGTTTCGAGTTGCTTCGATTTGTTGTTCAGCTTTTTAATGACAAATTTTAATAAAAATGTAGTTAAGAATTTTAAATAAAATAATATCTGAGAAGCCAGATTTAATTGCATAGTTTTTGAAGTTGTCTTTACTTTATTTTATATTTTAATGTAGATATAATACTGAAAAGATCGATTTATATGATAAAATCAATGTTAAACTCTTAATATGTCTGATCAGTTTCTTAGTTCTGTATGTATTTTCGAGAAAATAATTTATTAAAATAAAAAGAAACCTGAACAAATTTTTTGATTACAAATATTACTTCATACATTTCAATAGAAAGATTTAGTCTTGTTCAAATTTAAATACATTTTAAAGTTAATTGCCCTCTTCAACTGTTTAAGTAATTTTTTTTATATTGTTATAAAAACCAAGTCTAATCTAAAATATAAAGATTTATGTTCAGAAAAGAAAGGATATTTCTTTCCTGAACATAAATCTTTATATTTTTCTCTGTGTCTTTTTTTTTTGTTAGGACAAGACGACGAGTGGCAGATTTCATAGTCAACTGCCATTCAAATATTCATGTGCAGGGCTGGAATCGGCTAAGACTTTAAGCCATTAACCTCGTGGCCGCTGTCATCATCAGGAGTGGAGCGACAGCCTCTCTCTCCTTCGCACTCTCTTGCTCCCTCTCTCTCTCCCTCTTTTGGGGCGGTGGGGGCACCAGCTCACACTGTCGCCCTGTTGATGTGTGGCTGGGCACGTTTTTGGCAATTAAAAGCATATGCGGGCTAGGCCGCCGCCTCCTTGGGGCTAATCAACGAGGCCGCCCCAACAATTTGCTTGAAAATTAAACAAAGCAAAGGGCAAGGAGGGGAGGAGCAGGCGGAGGAACAGGAGCAGGAGCAGCTGCCAAGCCAAGACGATGGAGACCACGAAGACGAAGAGGGCAGAGTGCCTACCACAAGCAAACAAACGAATACACACACAGACGCGTCTGCGAAATTCGCTCACCCACACATGCTCACTGGCACACACCCATACATACATACATACCACACACTGCAGGAGCAGCAGCAGCAGCAGCGGGAGCGGGAGCTGAAGAAACAGACTCCTTTCTTGCCACTGCCTTTTTTGTATTTATTTACAAGGAAGCTAGGGTTTTTTGCATTTATAACTACAATGTATTCTGGATTTTATTTTGTTTAATTAATCTGCACAAATCGCAATCGGTTTTTGGATTTCCCTTGCTTTTCCGTGATTTTCCACGCACTCTCACACACACTCGCGGTCACTCGCTCTCTATATATGCAAATATATACATAATATATAGTACACCCAGAAGTGTGCACAGTCCTGAAAGAGTTGCCAACAAATTGGTTTTGCTTTTAATTTCGCATTGGAGGTCACTTTGCTTGTAGAATTTTTAAGGATTTTTCGTTCCGGCTTTACCAAAATTAGAGAGGTGGAAAATGTATCTATGCCTGGGCTCTGAACAAAATTGTATCCGCTCGGCGTTAACGGCTCGACTCGACTCGACTCAACTCGCTCACGGACTCAGCTCGGGCGTGTTTGATTTTTTTGCGGAGACCGAGACCGAGACCGACTGGCACAGTGGCACTTACATCACGAAGCCGCGAAAATTCTGGGTGCGACCGGACCGGGCCGAGCCGAGCACCGCCGACAGGATATTCGCGCTCTCGGTCGGACTTCGGGTTTTGTGATTCGTTATTCGGGTTTCGCCTGTTGTTGGCACTGCTGGCACAGTTGTTGTAGGTCTCAGTTGGTTGCCCTGCTCCTGCAGCCATATCCTTTACACATATACACTCACACACATATACGCGGATTGTTGTTGGTGCAGGCTTAAAGCACACGCAACTGTTTCGCAGAATGTGAGTGTGTGTGTGTGTGTACCGTGCGGTGCTGTGCGCTTTGTGTACAACCGGGAATCGTTTTGCCTCCCACTGCCAACTTACTCGCACACAAATCAACATAAATCAGCTAAATCGTCAGGATACAAGTACACACACACATACACATTACACGTACACCCCGCCAAACACACACCACACACGCTCGCAGGCAAAGCACTGTATTAGTAGTAACATACGAGGGCTGAGCTGCAGGCCAAGCAGGGCTGGTTTGCATAGAGTGCACCGAGGACTAGTGGCTGGATCTCATGGCGTATGCGTAATGCAGTTGATGGGCAAATCTGTTTACCCATGACTGAGCAAATTTTGACTGGGCAAACTTCATTTTAGCCAGCTGGCGCTGATCACTGCAATTGAACTTGATGTTTGGCATGTGTAATCCAGCCTTATTGAAATATTAAAACATAATCTCGCCAGAGCCAGCTCAGCGTTAATTAAATAGTGCAGTAATTGCTGATGTATTTAACCCCTTTTCGTGCGGTCATTTAAACATTTAAGCAGTACTGTATTGTTGATAAATTTGGGAGCTTTCATTATATATATTAAAGTATTCTTCAAATAACTATATTAAATATTATATAAAAGTTTTCGTTTGTTTGTTTTGTTGAGAAATATAACGTGATTGGGACATGGAAACTATTTTGTCTTATCTTTTAATGAATCTATATAAATAATTATAAAATCAAGAAATAATATTCCAACATAATATTTTCTGTGCTGTAATCTAATTATACTTTTCTTTTATGATATAATTTTTATTTTAACTTATTTATCTGTTTAAATTCAAAGTAAAAATGTTATATATTCCATTTCAAGTGTATTCTATTAATCTCTTTTGTTTTTCATTTAACAAAACATTTATAAAACCCCTTCCTACTATCATCCTAACCGCAAAGTCAACCATTTTGATATCGCCACATGAAGGGTTAACGCATTTGGTTTGTCGCAGGCCAATTAATGATTAAAGCCCGTCCGAAACGACGAATCGAAAAAGATTTAAATGTCGCGCTATCTGCAATCTCAATGTATCTCCCGCTGTCATATGCAGTAATGGCTTTTAAAATATATATCGCCAGCCATTAAATACATTTCCGTTCAGGGACCGGTCCAATACACACCCATACACACCATATATAACAGAGTTAGCACACAAAACCGGTTGGCAAATGGACATCCAGGCGGCCATTTTGTGGCCACAGGACAACGATGTGGATGTGGGAGCTGCTGCGAGTCCTTTGCCAGCGATGTCAACCAAGTTGACTTTTCGATGCGCACTGCTGATTTTTTTTAATAAGCATAAATTTTGGCACGTAAAGCAATATGGGTAAGCCGCAGACAAACACACATTCGCCCAGATCCTTATACAGTAAGAAAATTAAGCGGTATTTTAAAGATTTTTGGGTATAAGATGAACTATTAATTAAATCTTTAAAGATATTGAGAAGATATGAAAC